AAAAAATACTGTCTTATTTTTCTTTCAATTTTGCTGTTCAAAACACAAATGGCCCATCAGCGGTATACATATAAAGAAATAAACGAGTTAAAGATGTCTTTACTGAGTAACTGATGTAGATACGTATGCTCCTGAAACCCAGGTGTGCCAGCAGTCATCACACTAGCATCTGCAGGACACGACTACACATTTGATGACGTCCCATTTGATGACGCATGCCGGCAGCTGGAGGAGGCAGGTGCTGCTGTGGTTGGCCTTAACTGTGGCCGAGGTCCGGGCTCTATCCTTGGTCTGATGAAGAAAATCAGGGCCGCCTGTAAGGTGGGTTTTTGTTTGCCATAGCAGTCAGTGGCGTAGGGTGGCGAAAGATGTGTGAGTGTGTGTTACAACATCAAGATTTGATCTTTCTTCATCTTTTCTTCTTTTTCTTCGTCGTTCTTAATTATTAGTGTTGAAGGGGATCGAGATTTATCTGCCAGTGGGTTTGAACTCGAGACTTTGTTCGAATTTATCAACCATGCTCTTTTTGCCGACTCGACCACGCCTCCAACACAATTAAGCGGTACGTGTCAACTGGTTATGCGCCATTGAGGCCATTGACTCCGATTTCAGCCTGCTTTTCTTTTTGGATTTCCTTCCATAGCCTTTGTCCAACCAAGAACAAACTACAAGGCAGCAGTTGTTTAATTTTGGAGTTGTCTCTCCTAGAAGAGTGGCTGTCCCCAGCTAACGAGCCTCATCTGCCCGAGGGTTCGAACTCGAGACTTTTCGGTTTAGCAACCATGAGCTTTACCGACTCGACCACGCCGACCCCCATCTTTCTTCAAATTATGCTGTTACATTTGGTTTCTGCCTACAGGGTATGAAATACTCTTCTCAATCACCAATGCCATACTCTACTCAGAACTTTAGGGTTCGTCAGTGGCATCGCAAGGTCAGCGGCCACTCAAAGTACTAGCTTTCGGGTGTCACACCTTTCTTTTATGTATGGTGCTATATCATGCTTAATAATATATTTAGCGGTATTCGCTTTTAAATGGGCAGCGTTTCGTCTATCATCCTTTGTTGGACAACTCCATTCTAAGCCAACGATGTAAACATCTACTATGTAAACATTCTGTATTACGCTATCAAAACATTATTATTAATTTGCTTTTTCTGCTTCAGGGACCTATAGCGTGTCTACCTGTACCGTACAGAACCTCTGAGAAGTTCCCCACCATGCAGTCTCTTCAAGACCCGGACACAGGTGAGTAGTGTGACCACTGACACACGCAGGTATTGTAGTGGGTGCCAGGATTGTGTTGTCTATGAATATCTTCATTCAACCTTCCCCAGGTAAACAGTCGTTCCCGTATGACTTACCTGGCCATACGTGCACGAGAAGTGAGATAGAAAACTTCGCCAAGTCGTGTAAGGAGCTGGGAGTCAACTATGTTGGTCTGTGTTGTGGTAATTGTTCACATTACACCAGGATTGTGGCAGAGGTATGTTGGTCTGTGTTGTAGTAGAGGTATGTTGGTCTGTGTTGTGGTAGAGGTATGTTGGTCTGTGTTGTGGTAGAGGTATATTGGTCTGTGTTGTGATCGAGGTATGTTGGTCTGTGTTGTAGTAGAGGTATGTTGGTCTGTGTTGTGGTAGAGGTATGTTGGTCTGTGTTGTGGTAGAGGTATGTTGGTCTGTGTTGTGGTAGAGGTATGTTGGTCTGTGTTGTGGTAGAGGTATGTTGGGCTGTGTTGTGGTAGAGGTATGTTGGGCTGTGTTGTGGTAGAGGTATGTTGGTCTGTGTTGTGGTAGAGGTATGTTGGTCTGTGTTGTGGTAGAGGTATGTTGGTCTGTGTTGTGGTAGAGGTATGTTGGTCTGTGTTGTGGTAGAGGTATGTTGGTCTGTGTTGTGGTAGAGGTATGTTGGTCTGTGTTGTGGTAGAGGTATGTTGGTCTGTGTTGTGGTAGAGGTATGTTGGTCTGTGTTGTGGTAGAGGTATGTTTTTCTTTGTTGTGGTAGAGGTATGTTGGTCTGTGTTGTGGTAGAGGTATGTTGGTCTGTGTTGTGGTAAAGGTATGTTGGTCTGTGTTGTGGTAGAGGTATGTTTTTCTTTGTTGTGGTAGAGGTATGTTGGTCTGTGTTGTGGTAGAGGTATGTTGGTCTGTGTTGTGGTAGAGGTATGTTTTTCTTTGTTGTGGTAGAGGTATGTTGGTCTGTGTTGTGGTAGAGGTATGTTGGTCTGTGTTGTGGTAGAGGTATGTTGGTCTGTGTTGTGGTAGAGGTATGTTGGTCTGTGTTGTGGTAGAGGTATGTTAGTCTGTGTTGTGGTAGAGGTTGGCTTGTGCTGCGGCCATTGATCACATTACACCAGGATTGTGGCAGAGGTTTGTCAGTCGCTTCAAGGCTCACTTTCTTTGCGGGGCTACCTTTTGTAAAGGATCTAAAATAATCAGTAAACACATTTTGCATTTGTAAGCTAAACTTTTCAGACGGGAGCTAAAAAGCCACTTTATATATACACACAGAAAACCTAATTATAATAATAGACCTACACCTTTGGTGAAATAGAAAAATAAAGTCATTATTTTGACCTTTTGACCTCTGTCTTGACCAGGTCTATGGACGCAAGCCACCAGCCAGTCGTTTCTCTCCTGACATGTCGAAACATTTCATGTACGGGGACAAATCCAAGTTTGACCAGTACCACACTGAAGAGATGGTCAATTTTTACAAAGTCTGACAGTCAGATAGCTATTGAAAATATAGTATGATTGTTAAGTCTGCACAAGTTTTCATATGCTTCTGGCGGATGCTCTTTGTAGTCAGATAATCTAGTATTGAAATATTGAGTTCAAATTATTAAATGATGTATTTTAAAACGTATCTAAATTCATGTGTTATTGAGATTATTAAAAACATTATCTAATACATAAAACAGATCATGAAGTGAACATTTCGATTATTTTTGAAGCAACAAACCCTGTTGGATAAAGTGTTTGTGTATGTTAAAACATTAGAAATTTGTTATAAATTAAATACGCATTTAGCTTATGTTAAATTGAAAGTTAGGGGTATTTTAATTTGAACGGGAGTTAGATTTAACAGGACAGTCCATTATTGGCATCATATTCTTGGAAGGGATGAGGTCAATTTTCTGACGATGTGTGACGAGCAGAAATGGACGGAGAGCGTTTTGAAGATTGACAATAACAGCCTGTTAATTACTCCCTGTCGTTCTACCCTATCCTATTAATTAAGTCCCAAGGTCAATCAACCCCAAATAGTTGCAGTCGTTTAGAGAGAGATCCGGGTGGGGATAGCTCAAGGATATGTTAGGAATAGGTTAGATATAGGTTTAGATATAGTATATAAAGAAGAATAAATCCGTGTTACTTCCAGACTTGAAATTTTCGGGGGGGGGGGGGGGGGGGGGGGGGGGCGGACAACAATTTTCGGGGGGCGGACATTGTCATAAGTATATATTTTCTATATAAATTCCATTTTGTTCGGGGGGGGGGGGCGGTAGACTTTCTTCGGGGGGGGGGAAGGGGGCGTTTTCCCCCCCCCCCCCCCGAAGAGATGCCTGGACGAAACTCTGGAATAGATGTTGAATTAGGTGCAAATGTGTTGGTGTAGGTGTATATGTTGATGTTTGTGGTTGAGTGAGGTTGTGGTGAGAAATGGTTTATGCGTATGCTTATGTTTTTGTGTGTGTTTTTATTTATGTTTTGAAAATGTATTAAGGTTTAGGGTTTTTGTTTGTGTTTATGTTTGAGTTTGTGTTTTTTTTAAATGTTATTTTTTTAAGCGTAGAATTGCGGGGAGAGAAGAGGGTTTACGTAATTGTTTAATTGTTTGTGGTTGTGGTGAGTGTTAGGGTTATGTTTATGTTTGTGTTTATGTGCTTGTTATTTTTTTAGTCGTAGAAGTGCGAGCAGGAGTGAAAGTTTAGGTCCAGGTCTATGTTCGTTTATGATTGCGGTTGTGGTTGGTTGTGGTTATGGTTTAGTTTAAAGTTAGGATTAGGGTTATACATTTTCTATATTAATTTTGCATATAGACATTAATTAGAAATTTAATAAATTAAAAAAAAAACCGGGTAGCTCCGGGTATATAATACTTATTAATAACTACACACTTCACGATCTCTTACATACACGTTTTTACTAAAGCCAGTGCTGAGCCTGGCTGGGACGGGTAGTCTACATAATAATGGTTACTTTAAATAAACAGAACATTAGTGATCAGAATAGACAACCATATCACGGTATTATTTTAGTTATCTGGTGAAAAAATACCCCCCCCCCCCCCCAAGTTAAAAAGGCCGAGTTCACCATTAGAATGGAACAGAAATTGTTACACTGGGATAAAGCACGTTATTTATCTTTAGCGAATTGGTGAAGTAAGTTAGCTTTAGGACCTATGTTTCAGGCCGAACCTTTAGGCTAGGGTTACGTGCTCAGTGTATTTCAGTGGTTAGGTATTACATACAACAATGGCGTTATCATAGACACCCCCCCCCCCCCCCGCACGTACAGTTTTCGCTTTTTTAAAACTGAATAAACTTACGAACATTAGTGAATGAACGCCTGTAAAATTAAATTTTATAATGAAAAAGAGGATTTGTTGCATTCAGTGGGGGGGGGGGGGGGGGGAAGGAACGTTGTTTCATAATGCACAGCGCATCTTTTGTGTACTTTTGTAGGGCAGCGGTTTGTTGCCATTGATTCCGAAATATGCAGCACCCAGCGGTCAACTCAAGCTGTTTGTACTCCGACCCTCAAAAGAAAAAAAACAAGTTTGTGTCGAATTGGCTTCTTTTTAATTTTTAGATGTTGAAGCTGTTAAAATATCTATCGTGAAATAAAAAAAACAACAACAACATATAAGCAAGACCCTCCCCAAATAGACTAACCCACCGGGCGCCCGTTGGTGGGGTGAAGTAGAGTGTCCTCTTTCGGTTACACCCCTGATTCTATTGTAATCACCATTTGCTCTACTTTTAATGCTGCTTGACTCAATTATACGAGAGTGAAAAAAAAATAGGACTCAGTACAACAGAACTTGAATTCTCAGCCACAGTCTCATTGTCTTATAGGTTCAAGATGGCGCAGTCAGGTATGTCCTCTTTAATCACTAACGAGAGAGTTTAAAATGTAGTAGTTATATTCAAAGAAAAAAGAAAAAACAGTTCTGACTCTATGAAATATAATTTTTTTATAATGTTTTAGAGTGAGGTAGTCTTAATAGGATGTCATTTAATACACTAAACACTTAAAAAAAAGAAGCTTTTTTTTGTATCTTACCAACTCGACAATATTCTTATCTCAATTCACTGGCCAGATAACGGCCGTGGTAGAGGTGAACGACTGTAGGTTATAGAAATAAAATTAACTTGAAAAGAAGTTTTAAAAATTATGAACATGTGGCTTGTAAAAACCTGCACGCTACACATAACACATACGCCACATGTTTGAACAGTTGTGAGTTGCAATCATCCCCACCTACCCACACACATGTAACAGCTGTGTTAGCAGAATGTTTGGCACAGATCATGTGTTATGGCTACACGAATAACACACAAACGTGTAACAAGAAAGTAAGCGACAATTATGTAAAGTGCGTGTGATGTGAACATCTGATTAAACTTATTAGAAAACAAGCGACAACCACCAACTTCTGGGAATGAATAAGAAGAAGTTGAGCATAATCTTACACAAATACACATTAATCATGTTACGGTGTGTATGATTATTGATTGGCCTGGTGACACAGACAGTAACACATACAAGTACACTTTTTATGTCAAATAAAACAATATCTATGGGACGGAGTGGTCTAGCGGTAGAGAGCCATACTACTAACCCGTAAGTCTCAAGTTCGAATCCGGGTTCAAGTCAGTAGACCGTCCCTGAGTCCACCCAACTCTGATGGGTACCTACTACCTAACTCACGTAAGGGAAAGTAAAGGCGGCTGGGCATAGTGCTGACCACACTATCTCTTCATATGCCGAGGTCACAGAAACAAGTGAACTCTACTTCACTTGAGTACAACCACACCATTCTAAGTTTCAATGACAAAAGCTTAAACTATCAAATTGCGGACTGGAATATAATTACTGTATGTTTGATTTCACAAAATTTTTATTGGTCAACAAAACCTTGACTAGGCTAAAGCAGTGTCCACACATTCCCAACGACTTGGCCCGACTCATATCCACTCTTTTTCTTAACGTTTTCAGTCCGTGGTACTTATCACCTGATGTGACAGTTAACAACTCACTCAGTCCTTAATCCTTGCGCCTCATAGTTTTTGTAAATATATTTTCTGTTTTCCTAGACACAACCGTATTTGTTTTGTAGCGTTAGAACAGTGTTTAGGTTTTCGTTAGAGTTCTCTACTTTATGAGGTATGACGTACAGAAAAAGACACGATGGCCAAATCTATTTCTATAATGAAAACCATAAAGAAACGTAAAGTGATACTGTCCGGTACTTCAACAAAACCTGCTTACCAGATGCGATATCTCATCTTTACATTGAGAGACAATAGATGCACACAGTAGTGAAATCCTCAAGACGAGGCGAGAGCATTACACGAAGAGATAATGTGCCTATGCATCGTCCTTCCCTTTTTAGCTATGACACTTACTATTCTCATTTTCTTTGGCTGAACAATTCAGGTTATGGACAAATCAATATTTCAAAAGTGACATAATAATTTGATTTATCATGTTGATCCACACATATTAAAAAAAAATCTTTTTAAAATCAAACAGGATCATTATTGGAGCGCTTGGCAAATGGCGGGAGTCTGGTGGTCGCGGAAGGATACATTTTTGAATTTGAAAGACGGGGCTATTTGCAGGCGGGTGCTTTTGTACCAGAAGTGGTCATCGAACGTCCAGATTTGGTCAAGATAATGCACGAGGAGTTTGTCCATGCCGGAAGTGAAGTCGTACTAGCATTTACGGTAAGTTACAAGTTCACTTGTCTATGTTGTTAGTAGTCGATCAGTCAACGGTTCTAAGCCTTTTTTTTTTGTTTTCCATACCCTAGCTCGAAGTCAGAGGCGTAGCGACCCCTCCCGGCGCCCGGGAAAAAAAATTTCAATTTGGCGCCCCCCATATAGTTTTTATATTTATAATTCAAAATAGCAGCTAAAATGAGCTTATTTTGGCGCCCCTAGGGTCGGCGCCCGGTGACATATGTACCCCCTCCCCCCTGACGCTACGCCTCTGCTCGAAGTTACAGAAAATTAGTACACATTTTCGGATTACCATTTAGTTAAACCGTATTTAAAAACATCTATGTAAAGTAATTCCTACATATATTGTCCTGAAGTGAATTTAAAAAAAAAATCCATTTGTTGACCACTACCTACCACTATAATATTAATGGTACTAAGTGGTTGACCATCACTGGCCACTGTATATTAATGGTACCAAGTGGTTGACCATCACTGACCACTAGTACTATGGTAGTTAATGTTTGACCATCACTGACCACTGTATGTTAATGGTACTCAACTGTTGACCATCACTGACCACTGTATGTTAATGGTACTAAGTAGTTTACCATCACTGACCACTGAATATTAATGGTACTCAACTGTTGACCATCACTGACCACTAGTACTACGGCCACCGTGAGAAACTCCGTCTTGTGGGGAGGGAAGATGAGCTGGAGACGATGAACAGACGAGCTCTGTCGATAGCTCGCGAGGTGGCGAGGTCAACGGGGACGTTGTTTGCCGGCAACATCTGCAACTCCACCATCTACAAGAGGGATGACGACAGCTCCAAGAAAGCCACCGAAGCCATGTTTAAGGTCAGGGATCTTTAAGAGGGAAGAATTATTTGAACACAATTGCCAATTGTATTGGACACTATAAGTTAAATCATAGCAATTAATAGAATAATCTTACACCTGTTTATGTTTTAGTAAAGAGCCTACTTTTACAAGAGCCTATTTAAAAAAACGTCTTGAAAGTACACGTGTTTTTAGCAAATCTATAATTAGTAATTCCTGGGGTATTCGGTTTTTAAGTCCTTAACCCATAAAACCCAACGAGAATGAATGATGATTATTTCTGAGCATCCATAGTGTTTGATATAATAGTGTAAAAAAAAACACTTGCAAAGTCCTAGAAATAGGCATCTTTGATTTACTTTTTTGACTTTTTAAAATTATAATTGATTTTTCTTTTTAACATAGGAACAAATTGAGTGGGCAGTAGAGGAAGGCGTCGACTACATCGTTGGAGAAACTTTTGGTGAGCTTGGCGAGGCTATGCTTGCACTTGAGTCCATCAAAAAGTACGGAAAAGGTGGGTTTTCTTTGAGCTATTAAAAAACACTAACTTTAGTCCAATCTCGAGTTCGAACCCTCGGGCAGATGAGGCTCGTTAGCTGGGGACAGCCACTCTTCTAGGAGAGACAACTCCAAAATCAAACAACTGCTGCCTTGTAGTTTGTTCTTGGTTGGACAGAGGCTATGGAAGCAAATCCAAAAAAAAAAAGCAGGCTGAAATCGTATTCAATGGCCTCAATGACGTATAACCAGTTGACACGTATCCTTAATTGTGTTGGAGGGGGATCGCTTCCAACACTAAAGTTAAGAACGAAGAAGAAGTCCAATCTGCTGTATAGACCTACATATAAAGGAACAAATGAGTACAATATTTGTATACTGAGTAACTGATGTAGGTACGTATGCTCCTGAAACACAGGTGTCCCAGCAGTCATCACACTAGCATCTGCAGGACACGACTACACTTTTGATGACGTCCTGTTTGAAGACGCATGTCGGCAGCTGGAGGAGGCGGGTGCTGCTGTGGTTGGCCTCAACTGTGGCCGAGGTCCGGGCTCTATCCTTGGTCTGATGAAGAAAATCAGGGCCGCCTGTAAGGTGGGTTGTTGATAGGCATAGCAGGCAGTGGCGTAGTGCGGAGTTAGTTAGAGGGAGGGGGGGGTGAAGGGAGGGTGTTCGAGGTGCGTAACAATACCACCATCATTTATTCATTTCTGGTCTTTGGCGAAATTAAGCTGTTACATTTGGTTTCTGCCTCGAGGGTATGATGTTTATAAAATAATTGTTTTCTTAGTAAATGCAAGAATTTTCATCCATGGTGTCAACCGCCCCCCGCCCCCCCCCCCCCCACCAATTTGTCCCCGATATCGTCCTCACTACCACACCCCGTCAAGAAACACTAACAAGTCTTATACTGGAGGGGATAAATATCTACAAACAACGTTGTGACAGAAATCGAATTATGCTCAATGGCATCAAATGTATAAATACACCTATGTATACAGAAAACAAGAAACAAATTAAGTTGAAAGACAAACTACGTAAACATACTATATCACACTTTTGAACATTATTTCTCCCACAATCACTTCAAAAAATTCCCATTTCCGCTTCAGGGTCCTATAGCGTGTCTACCTGTACCGTACAGAACCTCTGAGAAGTTCCCCACCATGCAATCTCTTCAAGACCCGGACACAGGTGAGTTGTGTGACCACTGATACACGCAGGTATTGTGGGTGCCAGGCTTGTGTTGTGTGACCACTGATACACGCAGGTATTGTGGGTGCCAGGCTTGTGTTGTGTGACCACTGATACACGCAGGTATTGTAGTGACAGTGGGTGCCAGGATTGTGTTGTGTGACCACTGATACACGCAGGTATTGTAGTGACAGTGGGTGCCAGGATTGTGTTGTGTGACCACTGATACACGCAGGTATTGTAGTGACAGTGGGTGCCAGGACTGTGTTGTGTGACCACTGATACACGCAGGTATTGTAGTGGGTGCCAGGATTGTGTTGTGTGACCACTGATACACGCAGGTATTGTAGTGACAGTGGGTGCCAGGATTGAGTTGTGTGACCACTGATACACGCAGGTATTGTAGTGACAGTGGGTGCAGGGATTGTGTTGTGTGACCACTGATACACGCAGGTATTGTAGTGACAGTGGGTGCCAGGATTGTGTTGTGTGACCACTGATACACGCAGGTATTGTAGTGACAGTGGGTGCCAGGATTGTGTTGTGTGACCACTGATACACGCAGGTATTGTAGTGACGGTGGGTGCCAAGATTGTGTTGTCTATGAATATCTTCATTCAACCTTCCCCAGGTAAACAGTCGTTCCCGTATGACTTACCTGGCCACACGTGCACAAGAAGTGAGATAGAAAACTTCGCCAAGTCCTGTAAGGAGCTGGGAGTCAACTATGTTGGTCTGTGTTGTGGTAATTGTTCACATTACACCAGGATTGTGGCAGAGGTATGTTGGTCTTTGTTGTGGTAGAGGTATGTTGGTCTGTGTTGTGGTAGAGGTATGTTGGTCTGTGTTGTGGTAGAGGTATGTTGGTCTGTGTTGTGGTAGAGGTATGTTGGTCTGTGTTGTGGTAGAGGTATGTTAGTCTGTGTTGTGGTAGAGGTATGTTTGTCTTTGTTGTGGTAGAGGTATGTTAGTCTGTGTTGTGCTAGAGGTATGTTGGTCTGTGTTGTGGTAGAGGTATGTTAGTCTGTGGTGTGGTAGAGGTATGTTGGTCTGTGTTGTGGTAGAGGTATGTTAGTCTGTGTTGTGGTAGAGGTATGTTTGTCTTTGTTGTGGTAGAGGTATGTTAGTCTGTGTTGTGGTAGAGGTATGTTTGTCTTTGTTGTGGTAGAGGTATGTTGGTCTGTGTTGTGGTAGAGGTATGTTGGTCTGTGTTGTGGTAGAGGTATGTTGGTTTGTGTTGTGGTAGAGGTATGTTGGTCTGTGTTGTGGTAGAGGTATGTTAGTCTGTGTTGTGGTAGAGGTATGTTGGTCTGTGTTGTGGTAGAGGTATTTTTATTCTGTGTTGTGGTAGAGGTATGTTGGTCTGTGTTGTGGTAGAGGTATGTTAGTCTGTGTTGTGGTAGAGGTATGTTTGTCTTTGTTGTGGTAGAGGTATGTTAGTCTGTGTTGTGGTAGAGGTATGTTTGTCTTTGTTGTGGTAGAGGTATGTTGGTCTGTGTTGTGGTAGAGGTATGTTGGTCTGTGTTGTGGTAGAGGTATGTTGGTTTGTGTTGTGGTAGAGGTATGTTGGTCTGTGTTGTGGTAGAGGTATGTTAGTCTGTGTTGTGGTAGAGGTATGTTGGTCTGTGTTGTGGTAGAGGTATGTTGGTCTGTGTTGTGGTAGAGGTATGTTGGACTGTGTTATGGTAATTGCTAACATTACATCGGGATTGTGGCAGAGGTATGTCAGTTGCATCAGTGCTCAGTTTCATTAGTACATCATATGGGATCTAAAATAAAAACAAACACATTTTGCATTTGTAAGCTAAACAAACATATCACAGGGGAGTTAAAAAAACACTTCATAATAAAGGCATTATTTTGACCTTTTGACCTCTTTCTTGACCAGGTCTATGGACGCAAGCCACCAGCCAGTCGTTTCTCTCCTGACATGTCGAAACATTTCATGTACGGGGACAAATCCAAGTTTGACCAGTACCACACTGAAGAGATGGTCAAGTTTACCAAGGCTGACAACTAGACATTGTAGGCTTAGGGCATAAAAATTATAACACGATAACCTGTTAAAATATAAGGTTATAGAATGTGCTGTTTTAACAATATTTTAGGATATGTAATTGTTTTTTTAGTCCATTAAACTAAAGATAATTTTTGAAAACATAATTAGAGTTTGGTTGAGGTCACGTTTTTAAAAATAATTTAAAATTTTTTTTATTAGGGTGTAGTAGTTTAAATGGTTTTAGAAATTGAAGAGTCTGTGGTTTTTATTGAACAAGTACCTCTGATAGGCGTGTTAAGTAGGTACATGGAAAACTTTTGTAATATTCGCAAGTACGAATGTAGCTCAAGTAAACAGGTTTTGTTTGAAGGTTTACAGTAGGTATATGTCTACCATGAGCAACATAAAAACAACAACAACCACCCAGAATCACCCGCAAATCTTTAAAAAGTTATAACCGGGCAAGGTTTATATGGGACTGTACACAAACACTAATTGTTAGACTATGCAACGTTGGTCCTCATCGCTGTTATAACAATAACTCCAGACCCACGCAGAACAAGTCTAAACCGTTGTTCCAGGTGTGAGAGGTGCTTAGATGACTGCACCAACATTGGAGAAAAAGGAGAGTTAAAACATAATCTCTTAGACTCAGTTTGAGGCAGGCTTGAACTGGGCGACAACTCCCCTAACCTCCACTAACATAAAATATCTAGATGTGGTTCTCGTTCATATTTGATTGGTTCATAATACGAATCTTATGCTGTGCAAATGGTTCTGACACGGACAACTATAAGCACAGGGGAGACAATCGACCTTCAGTGTTTATTTTTACATGTTGTTTTCACAAAAAGGGTTACACCTGTTTTAGAGAAAAGACTGCATTGGTCTGAAGAACATTAAATTCGAGACAACAAGCACAATGCCTATTAGTTTTTGTTTTAGCGTTTTAAAATAGGTTTATTCGCAGAAAATCATATTACAGCCACTGGCTGTATTAAAAAATCAGGTATTAAAATGCGACTTAATTATTTAAAAGAAATCTGCTCATAAGACTATAGACGGAAAACTAATTCTTTAGACAAATAAAAAGCCTCTTCTAGATAGAAGTTCCCCCTATAAGTATATATGAATATTTTGTTAAGTTTAATTAATATATTTTTGCATACATTCAAAGTTAATAAACTATTAAATAAGTAAACAAAAAAAAATGAAATAAGAAAATCTTTATTAATGCGCAATTGACTCATACCATAACTTCTGTGGGTATTTCTCCATCAAATTTTTTGACCATGATAACTTTTGATCTGAGCCATTTTATCTCTCAGAACTTTTGTCAGTGAGATATGTGTCTAGGATACTGAGATAATTTACCCTGTCATCATAACAACATACATCTCCATATGTAACAGTAGAAGAGGTCCACAGCCAGCATGTCAACACTACAGCTTCAGCCAAAACTATAACGAACTTCAATGCTACAGCTCCAGCCAAAACTATAACAAACTTCAATGCTACAGCTCCAGCCAAAACTATAACAAACTTCAATGCTACAGCTCCAGCCAAAACTATAACAAACTTCAATGCTACAGCTTCAGCCAAAACTGTAACAAACTTCAATGCTACAGCTCCAGCCAAAACTATAACAAACTTCAATGCTACAGCTTCAGCCAAAACTGTAACAAACTTCAATGCTACAGCTCCAGCCAAAACTATAGCAAACTTCAATGCTACAGCTCCAGCCAAAACTATAACAAACTTCAATGCTACAGCTCCAGCCAAAACTATAACAAACTTCAATGCTACAGCTTCAGCCAAAACTATAACAAACTTCAATGCTACAGCTCCAGCCAAAACTATAACAAACTTCAATGCTACAGCTTCAGCCAAAACTGTAACAAACTTCAATGCTACAGCTTCAGCCAAAACTATAACAAACTTCAATGCTACAGCTTCAGCCAAAACTGTAACATAAAACACTCTGGGATTAACCAAAGCAATAACAAACATAAACACTACTGGACCAGCTAAAACTAAAACAAACTTCATTGCTACAACACCAGCCAAAACAATAACAAACAACAACACTACAGCACCAGCTAAAACTAAAACAAACTTCAATGTTACAACACTAGCCAAAACAATAACAAACAACAACACTACAGAAACAGCCAAAACTATAACAAACTTCAATGCTACAGCACCAGCCAAAACAATAACATACAACACTCTGGGACCAACCAAAACAATAACAAACATCAGTACTGGACCACCAAAACAATAACAAAACATCAACACTACAGGACCAACCAAAACAATAAACAAAAGATAATATTTTAAAATCCAAATACTTTTTATTGAAATAAAATAGTAAATATAAAAGAAATATCTGTTACATGAAATGGAACTTTATAACAAGCAATTACATTGGTTTACATTCTGTTAAGTGACACAGCTTACTTCACTTACTTAATAGATTCATAATGAGACTAACAAACACAATGAAACAATCTCCAGACATAAAACTTACTTCACATAAATGGTAGGAATAAAACTCTTCTATACTTAATAAATTCATAAATGAGACTAACACACGCAATGACACAATCTCCAGACATAAAACTATCACTGTAGCAATAAGTCTTCCAGTTCCATGCACGACATCATTCATTATACAAAACTAGAAACAAATATAACAAAACAAAGATTTTAAAAACCTTTTAACAAGCAACACTTAATTAGCTCATACATAGTCCATAATTCACATGCATTCCATTTTCAATTTTCAAATCAACTGAAAATGAAAGGCAATGATGTGTAAAATCTAAACAACAGTACTACAGACCACATCGTACCACTAAATTAACCACAAAATTAACTGACTGTAGGTTAACAGAAACAATGCAGGATATTACACAAGTGAAAAAAACTTTAAACATGCATCACAACAATATTTCCTGAGTGATTACACAGATGATGTATGAAGTTCCATGTTATAGGTACAGTATAATACAATTGAGTTATTACAGAGATATTTTAGACATTAGTAGCATAATTTGTTCCCCAAATAAGTTGAAAACAAATGAAATTAGAATCTTGCAGTTTAGTTCATTTTACATTATCAAAGCAAGTTTTCTATAAATAAACAAAAATGTTTATAAACAAGTTAGACTCATGCTTCAATACTATTAGTTCATAGTAATCATAGTGCCTTCAAGATTCTAATATACGCATTGCACCACATACTGTTTTACTTGTATATTTCACTGATTAAAAATGTAATGGGTTTATGTGCTTATCTATTTAAGCTAGATATTAAAAGATGACAGAAACCCAACTTCTTCCACCAAACTTAAGTAAGAACAAACAAACATTTTAATATGTGGTGGCTATTTGCTCAAATGTTTAAAAACTTCAATAAAATCTGTTTAAAAAATAAAATTTCAACAAATTTACATGATAAAAAGGCACAAGTGGCTTAGGTTTTTCATGACGCAGCTCATGTTTTCTTGGAAGGCCAATTACGATAAATCATAATCACAGTTCCTATTGTTCCTATGATGCCATTGGTTGAAGGTTTGAGCATACCAGCCCATAATACTCCAGGCGGCATCCATGAAATAGCATTGATGAAATCCGAGCTATGCTGGATAATCAGTAGAACAAGGTCCTTTTTTCCACGAGAAATAGCTTTTAGTTTTTCTTCAATTTCAGCATTTTGTGAAGAGCTGTATCCAACACTACCAAAGTAAACAAATATGTTATTAATACAGAGCTATAAAAAAAAACCATAGTTAAAAGATCTACTAGTTATTTCATTTAGTTGTGTAATTTGTAATAAAGTAAGCCTGAAATAGTATGACTTTATGATCTAATTTCTATGCACATTTTATTGTTGTCTTTCACTACTTTAAACTATGTCAAATATTGTGTTTAACTAAATTTAGAATTAAATATAAAGCTTGTAAAAAAGACCACATTAAGTCAATCACTCAAAAACTATTCATAAACTGCATCAGCCCCCATATCTAAGGTCCAGGAAAACAAGAAAACCCACCTCATCACATTTATGCCACTACCACAACTCTTTGATAAACACAGTTTGCTCCACCCAAATACACCAAATAACCCAAACTTTCTTCAAACCAATTACCTGTCTCTATCCAAAGCTTTTTGTTTGTGCAGGTTCTTGGCTTGTAAATTTAAATTCCTAATTTTTATAAATGATCTGCAAGACAATAATCCATGAATGACAATATGAAAAACTTCCACTTAATACAGCAATTACTTTATGTGAATGTATCTGGTGTTGTCAAAACTCTTAACATTTGCATGACAAAAGACAGTTTCTAAATTAATACAATGGAAATATCCCACAATATAAAACTTACTTAATAATTTCTCCTAAAAGGGACAGAGTCCAGAAAATAAGTCCCAGCAATGAGAACAATGTTGGACTCCCTGCTAGCAATGACTTCTGCCTCAACCAAGCTAAGTGTTCAGAGGGATAGTAGGCTTGATTGAATAGAGCTATAGAAAGCTCAAGTGGTTTTAATATACCCTTTTCCTGAAATGAAATTAAGCACTACTTGTAATGTAATGTTAAAAAACCTCACCCATTTAGCTTTTAAATTTGTTTAGAGAATAGTGTTACTACTAGCAGCTATTTATACACATAGCTAATTAAGTATGGAAATTTTTAACATACTATACCAATCAGTTGATATTACTAACTAATGAGAATATACAAAATATATACACACAAAAAAAGGAAGTAGGAGTGTCTGTAAATCTTAAATAGTTTTTATAATATTTCTATTCAGCACACAGTATGATACAGATAAAACCAAAATGTAATTGTCTAGGCATCATCAACAATGTAGAAGATAATGTCTTTCTCATCAGTTACACAAACATTAAATGTGATTATTAGGCCTAACATGTAAAAATCTGAGTTCAAATAATATTAAAAAGTTTCTTGACCCTTTTTTTAAACTAGACAGCTATCAATAGAATTTTTAACAAACCTTCAGTCCAAAGCTAGTGGACATGTTGTATAAAAGCATTGACAAGTCATCAAACAAACGTAGAATGACACGACAACCACTCATTTCTGAAGATAATTTCCTCCACTTTTGTTGACGGGGTGTCTTGCCTTCTCCTCCTAAAAACATTGCACCATAAGTTACCAGTCTGATTACTTTATCTCTACCCCTGTATGTCTCAAGGAAAGTCACCAGGGTGCTCAAACTTTCTTTGATTGATGACATTTTTAAGATTGTCTTGCGTTTGAGTTAAAACAACAGAAATTCTGCGCCATCCACCACCTGTTAATAACAAAAAACAAGAAATGAATTTATTAGTTATTAATTTAATATAGGCCTATATATATATATATATATATATATATATATATATATATATATATATATATATAGGCTATTATAATATAATATAATAATTGCCCCAAATCATCGAGATTCAACTGAACTGCTGAAATGCTGATGATAGGCTATAAATAAAATTATAAATTATAAATGCTAGATTTAAACCAATTAAAAGTCCCTTAAAAATGTACAGGTGCTAAAAAATGTGTCTCTTAGTGCCCTTCTTTACCCTATCCCTATAGACCTAGAACATAGATCTAGATAATTTTAGAATTTATTAGATTATCATCTCTTCTTTTTCTCTAGATCTGTTTAAGGCATATTTGAAGAGTTCAAAGGTTGAGAAATGTAATTTTAATTTTGGTAAACGAGCTAAGTCGTAAAGTCAGTGATCACAGTTTACGACAGCCAAAAACAGAACTTTTGTTTACATCCTAAAGGAAGTCTTCGTGGCAAATATTTATTCGTTTTAAAAAGGATAGTAATCATGATAACTTTTACATATAACTCATAATATATCTACTTTACATTAAACAGGACTAAGCTAACTTTTAGGTAATTTGCAACGTTAGGCTAATGATAAAATAGAATACAGTAAGCCTACAAAATTACCAATGTTGCTAAGGCAGCTAGAATCTAGAATCTAGATCTAACTGCTAAGCCTGCTAAATAATAAACTGCTAAGCTAAGGCCAGGCACTTTTACTTTGAACTTTGTTTTGTAGTTTTGTAGTGTAACAATTAATTAACAACTATTGAATAGTTACTTAAGTTACATACAATACAATCTAGAATCTAGATCTACAATCTACAGTAAACTGTGACACACTGTCTGTGTCTCACTTTGTTGGTAGTTTGTTATTTAATATTATTAATATTAATATTTAGGCTAATAGGTATTTATTATTTAATGTTGATTGTTGAAACTAATATTTTTTTTAGTTAATAAAGTTATGATTTATGACTGAGTCAGCGAGTCAATTTCAAAACTTTAACTTTGAATTAAAATTAAAGTATGAAAATGTAGGCCTAGAGTAGATCTAGGGATCTATTCTAGTTCTAGAGTGAATCTAGACTATTGTAGAATATCATCTAGAGAATCTAGAATCGAGTGCTATGAACTGGTAGTCTGGTACGAGAATGAGATTTATGCTGCCTTCTTGCAATCCAAGCTAGATTGTCTCATCCTCACTTTTTCATACATACTTGAAAAATTTGCCAGAAGAATAAAAAAATTGGTAATCTATAGTTTTAGGTACGTAAAATCGCCCACGGCTAGTAATAATGTACGAAAAAGTTACCTCATTGTCAAGGCTTTAATTAGGCCTAATAGAAGTATATTATTGTGATATATTTGTGTCAAATATTATAGATAAATGAATAATAAACCAAAATCAATGTCTAAATATATAGTAGGCCAGAAATTAACTTTAAACAGCAGTGTTTGCGATCAAGATTTGCTATAGGCCTATAAACAGCAGCCATTTGTAAAATAGAGTGGCTTCCCCTGAATCTCGCGCTAAAAGTTTTTTAAAAAAAACTTAAACGAGAGGCTGCTATAGAAAATGAGCATGGTTGCATCTGTTGGAAACATTGCTAGTCTTCATTTATTACTGAAAAGTTTTAATTCAATTGTTTAAAAACAGGTACATAAATGAAACAAGGAACATTTTTGTATTTTTCAAAACATAAACCCTCCTCAAAATGTGAAATAATTACTAAAATTTAAGGAGTCACCTGTTTTCACATTACTAGTCGCTGGCGATTTAACGTACCTAAAACGATAGATTACCAAAAAATTAAATATATTCGATAAAAAAAATTCGGGCAGATGAGGCTCGTTAGCTGAGGACAGCCGCTCTTCTAGGAGAGACAATTCCAAAATCAATCAACTGCTGCCTTGTAGTTTGTTCTTGGTTGGACAAAGGCTATGGAAGCAAATCCAAAAAGGAAAGCAGGCGGAAATCGGACTCAATGGCCTCAATGACGCATAACCAGTTGACACGTAACGCTTAATTGTGTTGGAGGCGTGGTCGAGTCGGCAAAGTTCAAACACTCTGGCAGATAAGGCTGGATCCCTTCCAACACTGAAAATTAAGAATGATGAAGAAGAAGAAGATACAAAAATCTCAGTTGTATTTTATCTTTTATGTTTCATTGAAAGAAGTGGCTGCCATTTTACATTACTTGATACTGAAAGTAGGATAGCGAATATTAGTTGAAACCTCACCGTACCAAGCCATTACACACACAACTAAATTTCGGTAATAAAATTAGAAATTCAGTGCAGAAATCTAGCATTAATTAGCCTAACGCTAAACCTTTTTGAGTTTTTGATGAATGAAAACGTCGATTTTATGGGGTATTCGGTTCCTTGTTATGAGATGTGGCATTTTTCCTGAAGTGATGTGGCTCTATGCAGTTTAATAAAATGGCTGCCTAAGTTATAGATTTAGTATTTATTGCATCCAGCTTAGATATTTATGTTGTAAAAAGATGGATGCTGTCTTAACTTAAATTTCAGCATCAGTTAATAATTTAATTAATACTTAGATCTTTGTTATTAGGCCTATATTCACATACTGGCTTTAAAAATATGCTATCAGGCCTGCTACCTATTTATAAATTTTGCACTTTTTTCAGATATGCCAGTCCAGCCTGAAGGTTTCAGGGCAGGTCTTGTTTATTTTATTCTATTGTTAGCTATCCCACTACAGTATTATTTATCCAGCAATGCATCTGTACCATCTGGACAAAGAGATGCAATATTCAAAAGGTAAGAAAACAAGTTTTTACTCTATTTTATTGGTAGTGATCACTACCATAGTACACATATTTGTTTTCTAAAGTTTAAATGTTCTTAGTAAAACCACACTGTTATAAAATAAATAAAATACTCCATCTTCGTAGGTTGGTGGGATCATTAAGTAATTTCCAGTACAAATATTTATCTGTTACATCATGGAAGCGCTGGTGCTCAAATGTTTGGCAGACAGTGGATGGTTGGAGAAGTAAGTATAATAATTAGATAATAAAATAAGAGCAATTACCCCCAGGAGCTACTTTTAAAACTGTCCTGCCTTCTTGTCATCGACATTGTATTACTAATATAAAAAAAAAAGCAAAGTTCCTTTTTCAACCTTAAGGTCCATAGGGCAGGTTCACCTGTATCAGTGACATACGTATATGATATTTGAAGAGATAGTGCTGTCAGCACTATGCCTAGCCACCTTTGCCTTCCCTTATGTGAGTCAGGTACCCATCAGAGTTGGGTGGACCCAGGGATGTCTAGTAGTCTAGTAAACCAAAAGAGAAACAGGAATCCAAACTATGGACTCTTTGATTAGCAGTGGAACTCTCTACCATTTCACGACACCATCTCATATTACTAATTTGTATTTTTTTATATTTGTTTTATTATTGTTCGTTAAAATACTTATTAACATTTATATGCAGAATTTATTACTTGGCAATCAGTGAAATGTAGTAACGCATAGTACAAAGTTAAGTGTTACTGAGGTTGTATTTATTAGAAACACCATTCTTCTTTATGTACAAGAATTGGTCTTAAGACAACTGAACATTGTATGGCTGATTAGCATTTACATGTAATAGTGTTTCTGCACAGATGGCAGGGGCATATTTGTGTCTGATGCTGATGAGGAGAGAGGGGAATCTCCAGCCTTGGACATTCTTCGGATTAGAAACCCCTATGGGTACTTTGCTAGTAAGTATTTCCTAAAAAATTGTGTATATTCTTGTTTCGAAATTACCACAGGTGGAGTGGCGGATTTACTATTGATTTTCTTTTTGAGAATCTTTAATCATTATAGCTAACTTTTCCAACTGTATTATTTGATTGATGCAATTTTTATGTTTTTAGCTGATTTGAAATTAAAAAAAGATTTTCCTTGTCATCAGCCTCAACAAATATCAGATCACCACGGCAGCTTCAGGTACATTACCGCGTTGGTCAAGTTATCAGGCACAAAATTCATGGGTACAAGGGCGTCATTATTGGATGGGATCTTGAAGCGCAGGTCAGTGCATGCAGGTTTTTTACAGTTACATTTCTTCACTAAATACATTTAAATCTGCAAACATTGGTTGGTAACTCTAGACCAAGCAGAAGATAAAACAAAAAGTGTTTGTTTCACTTTGACATAAAAAACAACAATTTAAAGGGGAAAAAAAATTAATAACTTGTTTTTTTGTACTCGTATCTTAGTATTATAATTCACTTATTTTGTTTATTATTAGTAGAACATTTTCTCATTTAAAATATCAACTTAATATAAATTTTTTTATTATAGGCACCAGAGGAATGGCTCAGACAAAATCACCCAGTTAATAAGCCAGTGAGTAAATTATAACAGTTTACTACAAATTAAATGTATAATGTCCTGCTTTTTGCATAAAAAATTGTATTGATTTAGTGTATTCACAGTTATTTAGGTGTACAAGGTAAAAAAAAAATCAAATTTTCCTGTTATTAGCCGGCCCACTGTATCATCTCTGTGTAGGCTCTGTATGCTCTTCTGCTTGTAAATTATTCACGGTTACAAGTATGGTGAAAATATAATTTAGAACATACAGTGAGAAAACATTTCAGGTACTAAGTTTAGATGTGACGTACAATCTCACCATTCACCTTAATAGTTAATATACCTCTAGCTGTTCCTTGTGGTATTGAGTTATTTGAAAGTTTATACTGTTACAATGTTTTCCAGCACTGGAGGAAGATGCCACACTATGCAATACTTGTAGATGTCAAAGATAGACCTGAAAAACAAATAACCTATGTGCCTCAGGAAAATATTGAAGTCATTACTCATACTGAAGTAAGTTCATGAATCTGTTTGCAAGTTTAATTAAAGTCATGTTTCATCCAATCCATTATGATATTTATTAATGCTGAGAGATTCAACTTGTCTTTTTTTGTAGACATCTACATTTCATAAACATTGCCAGTAAATAAAACTGTCTCAGCTGTAGATGCTGCTAATAGTAAAAAAAAACAGTAGAAAAGCTTCTTTAACATTTGTTGCAACAAGTTTCAACAATTTAATACATGCATAATAAAAAATATCCCCTGAATACTTATAGCAGAATCACTTACATGAGGGGTAATACACCAGATTAAAAAAAAAATTCTAGCCATGTTTAATAACTGTTTTCTTGGAAATATAATGTAACTGTAGCAGTAAATATTTATATTTAAAAAATTGAGCATGTTGATACTTAAACTTTCCATTTCTGTTACTTAACTTCAAACATTAAATTCAAATTCTTTTTATTTATTTTGTAAAATCCATTAAAATTAAGTATAATCTATACAATTTAGGTTGAATAAAATTGTGATAACTAGCCCTCAGCACTTTTTTCCCAGATATCTCACCCTAGTCTTGACACATACTTCGATTCATTTGACGGTGCCCAGTACCTGATGCGACCAGCCTTGAAGTATTTGTATCCCAGGGACTGAATCATGTGATTGGTTATCTGCTCTTTGTGCATGTCCAATAATTTTGTGTTTCAACTTAATTATTTACATAAACAAGATGTGATACCATAACTTTTTTTTGTTCACTTTTAAAACTGATTTGTCTTCCTAACTTTCAACATTCACTGTTGATTGAAAACATGGTCAAGTATTATCACATAATTATGTTTAATTTATCATGGTTCCTTCCTATGCTCATATTGTTTTGTAAACACAATTTTTTATGGGAACAATGATTTACTCACTGTTGGTTTTCCCCAACACTATTAGTTCAGAAAAAATGTGTCACTAGCAAGATAACATTTTAACTCAAAATTTTGTTCTAGATTATTCTGATATAGAAAAAAAAGTAGCTCTTGTTTTTAATTTTCTTATGAATCTCTTTTGTTGTTTAGTTAATAATATGTACTTTATTTGACATCATTTTACTTACGAACTGTGACTTATAACCAGCAGTAAACCAGTGTTTGACAGTAATTGAATGATTTTAATATTGTTAAAACTTCTAGAGTAACATCAAATGTACATTTTTATTGGTTTAATATTTTTAGAACTTGTATAATTTTTTTGCCATATAATGTCTCTTCTTTAAAAAAATTACATTATGGGTGTATTTCTAATGCAGATATCTTTGTAGTTATACATACCAATCCAAGTGCAATAACTCTGTCTTCTAAGGTAATGGTCTGGGAGGTCTGGAAGATTTTACACAATTTTTATTTCAATGAACAAAACAGTGATTATTTTTTTCTGTATATTCCTCAATATAACTCATTTCCCCCAACCTCACTATCCCTATCAGAAATCCAACTGCTGATACTCCATGCTTAGATTGGACTATACATAACTTATCTTGAGAAAAGACATATCTAATCTGGCCACCTCTCACTATTGTGTATATCCCTTAGGTCCATCATTTGAAATGAGATAGTTTACCTAGATAAGTTGAAAAATGGAGTATAGACTTAAGGATTTAGTACTGGTTGTTTATTTTATGACATGCTGTAAAGTTGTGTTTGACTGAGAATTCGAGAGCAGATCTCTTGTGACAACCAATCATTCCTTGTGGCTATATTTATCTGGTTTCTTTTCTGCTGTGTTTTTTAGAACTATTTATTGTTTTTAAATGTTGATAAAAATTATCAAGTGCACGCACTTGTTAAATTTAACCAGTCCAAGCATGAACAGGTGCCTAGTCAGCATCTTGTCCGCAAGCCTTTTTTAATTTAAAGAAATAAATAAATAATTGAAATGTTTTTGACCTGTCCATGCAGGAAAAGGTGCCTCGTCACCATCTTGTCCGCAAGCCTTTTTTAGTTTAAATAAATAAATAATTGAAATGTTTAAACTTTCAACTGAAGACAAGTTAGGCCTGAGATTGGTTTTAGCCAATTTCACATTATAGCAAAACAATTTTTAATTTATCTGAATTATATTGTTGAAATTTCCTCTCCTCCTCCCCAAAATACCCTATTATATATCTGTATTTTATTACTCACTCTTCCTACTTGGTTGAAATCTGTTGCATGTTATAAAACGACTCAATATATGCTGACATAATATAAAAACATCCATAAACCATTAAAACAACCAGGTGTTACTTTTTGCTATGTATATACATCTTGTCATGATTTATGCATAACTATTCTTCAAGAGTTGTGAAAGCCAAAATATGAAATCTGTGAGCTGAACAAAAATGTTTCTTGATACAAAACTGTACACATTGTTTTGCTGAGTTGTCCCTATTGCTAAAATAATTGTGGCACATACAGACTGGCCAGATTTGTACATAACCATGGGGGGGGGGGGGGTTAGTTTTCTCAGCATGGTGTTAACCTCTGACCTTGTTGAATATGATCTAAGGTGAAGGGACAAGAACTAAAATAAAAATAATTTTTAAAAAATAAGTTACCTTAAGAAGTGCCATTCTGAACTAGAAGTGATCGTTACATTTTTCTGGTTGCTTTGACTTTGAATGATGTTCATCCAGTGTAATGCTAATTATTTATTTCTTTATTGTGTGACGCTATTAATTGTAATGCTAATTGGCCTATAAAATAAAATTATACTAATTTATAATACAATTAGATAGTAGAAAGTAGTATAAGATTCTTAATACTAACAAACTCCATTTTTCAAGCTTCCTTAAAAATAAACTTTAAATTGATTTTTTAAAATTCTCTGTTTTCACTTTAACACCTCGTAATGAATAAAACTACCTACACTAAACCACCTTTCTCTTGATTAACAAATAGTGCCTCTATAATTACCTTCGACCAAAATTTGATCCCTAACAAAACTTTATACACTTGTAATATCTAGCAGTGCCCAGCTAGAAAATATAGTAACATCCTGTTATCCTTCTTTATAAACTATCAATATGCTCTTCCACTACTAGATTTGCAATTTTAGAAAGTTTAAGGCTGGAACTACAAATTTTTAAAATGTTTCATCTTATTTCATCCCATGAGCCATCTTCACTGTTTTGATTAAGCCATTTTGTAATGTGTAATGTTCACATGAAACATGCATTAAATATTCCAATTGTTTGACAAAGTACTCTTGTAACTATATGGAAATGTTGCCAAGAAATAAAAAAGTACAAAGAGTGAAAGTTGTGTTTAAAAAATTATTTTAGTGTTAAAATATTTGTGTAGTAGTATTATTATTAAAGTTTCAATCCTTTAGTTGACATCCATTATTGACCATTTTAAAAATAAATTGAAGACCACTAACCTAGTCAGTAGAGTGTAATCACTAAATGACTCAAAGACCACTGACCATTAGAGTGTGATCACTAAACGACTCAAAGACCACTGACCATTTGTGATGAAGTCCACTAAAATATTCCTCATTCATGATGAAGACCACTGAACCATGGATGGGTCAGAAAAGTTTAAACCAATGACCAAAAATATGCTGTTACTTCATTCTATAGGGTAGGTGACCACATTAGCTACTGACAGCCATACATTTAAACAGAAGTTTAACTGTAGTTCTTAGAAGCAAATTTAATTTTTGTGATTAATTGCTAAACTTGGGAAATCAACTGAATAACAATTAAAAACATTTTTTTACTTAAAAATAACAATGACAATTAAAAGGCATATCAAATCACATTTTGCAGGTTTGTTTTAAACAGACAAGACAATATATAGCAGTAATACAAGCTAAATTTTCAATTTTGTTCTGTTTTATGACAGGCTGCTTATCTATTTCTTTCACTTTATATTTTGTGATACAAAAATGCTTTTTAAGTAATTAACTTTTTTATAAAAATATTTCTTTTTTAGGATTAAGATTAAAATATCAGTATTTTAGAGGCATTAATTAAAATTGTTTAACAAAAATTATTTATCATATACATGAGAAAACACTTTCACAACCATAATTTGTTTCCTACATTCAAATATTAGTGTCTCAACATTTAAATTTGTAATTAACACACTGCAATCAATTCTGGTCACTAACTCATTCAATAAAAGCAAGGGATTTCAAATGAAAAATTCTTATTCCTCTCCTATAACTAAACCATTACAAAAAAATTGTTTTTATCACAATCAGTTTCAGGGAAAAAAAAAACTTACAAAAAAAACCAACTCAAGTAGCAAAACTACTTTTCTACCATAGGAATGCAATGTAACTTGTAAGTGATACAGTTAACAGTTTAAATTTTTTTTTTTTAATACTAGCAATAAATTTAAATAAATTAAGACTATGCAATGAATGTTTACCCTACATCAACTTTTCACTTTTACAGATCCAAGCCAAGGTTATGTCATAACTTTAAAATTTAGAGCAAAACAAACTGAAAGCCTTAACACATTATTTAATAAGCATCTTTTAATGTGACAAATTAAAAACATAATTAATGCTGAAACCAATAAAAAATGGCTGAGAACACAAGAAGCAAATTTTAAAATATTTATATGATTTATATGTATCTTATTTATTTAACAATAAACTATTAACATAACACTAAATTATTGAGCAAACAACAAATGAAACTTCTCATAAAACTTATTAGATTTTAAGACTGTCACATGAAGCAATTGATTCAAAATTAAAATACACACAACTTAAAGATAACCAAAATAGAGTTTACAGTTGAAGCTTAAAAGCTGGCATTTTAAAATTAAATTAGATTTGTTTTTCATTTAAAATCACCAATACAATTATTACAAATGAAACCTTTGTAAGGTTTTAACAAATGTAAAATTGCCAATATCACAAGTTTAAAGGAAATGTTTTATGTTACAAGGCTATAGCATTAAAAAGATAAACATTTTTCAACCAAGTTCTCATTTGTATTAATTCTGCCTGTATATAGAGGATAGTTAAAACAACAACAGAGAGAACAATATAGGCAGGGGCGGAACTACCATACCGCCAGACCCCGCAGTGCGGGGGGGGGGCCAGGACGTTTAGGGGCCCATTTCCGACCAAAAAACAATGAATTTTTTTTTCAAAAATTATATTTTCCATGCATCTTAAAAGTGGTTTTGTAAAAAAAAAAAAAAAGGTCTACTATAGCAGAGATTGTTGCGTAGAAAAATATTTTAAAATCTCCAAGGGCTATAGTCTGAAAGGTAGGCAAACATTCACACAACTTCCATGACTTACTGCCCTTTTTTAAAATAGGGATGCCCACGAATCTCATTTACATAGTTTTGTACTATGTATAGTAAAAAGCAATTGATTCTCTGAATTGTTATTAAAATAAGACGTACTAAACAATGGTATAGATATAAAAATCAATGTTTTCAAAATTGATATTATAAAAGCCAAAAATGAAAAAAATAAACATAACGCGAGAAACCATTCACGAATTAAGCTTACGTCTTTATATATTTTTGACCAGTTTAAAATGATAGTAGAAAGAACAGAAAAAAATGTGTCTAGTTTGTTCTCTCAGAATGGTTATATATTGCAATGAAGTAGACTAAATTACTCTGTTTAGATACAGATTATATATATATATATATATATATATATATATATATATATATATATATATATATATATATATATATATATATATATATATATATATTAGTTTCGTCACTGGCAACTTGATAGTGGTTTTGTAAGTAACAAACAGAATACAGATCTAATACAGTAGTGATGTTATATGGTAGCTAAGACATGCTGTTGCGTAAAAAAAATAAAAAAATAATAAACACAGCTGTAGTGTGAAAGATAGGCAAACGTTCAAACCATTTCCATAAATTATTTCCCTTTTTCAAATAGTCAAATAGGGGTGCTCAAAAGCTCTTTTTAATAGATTTTTAATAATCAAATTAAAAAGCAATTACTTATCTTAATTATTATTTTAAAAAAAATAAGTACTAAAGAATGGTATAGTATAAAAATGAAACGTAGTTAAAGTTAATAATATAAATACAAAAAAATAACATAAAAATAAACATAACACGAGACACCATTACTTATACAAAGCTTCATATACTTTTAACCGACTTAATGATTAGAAGTATTAATCATAACTGAAAACAGAGATTTTCAAAACAGACCAATGCACTCATACACATGACATGTTGTGATTAGATTTAATTGAATTTTTTTTTCAAAACCCGATCAGGCTAGAAAGGAGTATCCTATATTCGTATTGTGTTTGTATGTTTGTGTATGTATATATATACATATATATAAATAAATAAATAAATATATATATATATATATATATATATATATATATATATATATATATACATATATATATATATACATATATGGGGGGCCCAAAAAAATTTTTTGCGGGGTGGCCCATTTTTTCTAGTTCCGCCACTGAATATAGGATGCACAGCATCCAAATATAGAAACATTAAAACATAAAAAAGTACCAAAGTTCACAATCCTGATATGTAAATACTAGAGAAATCTAAAAATTCTTAAAATAAAAATCAGAATAGCTAGTGATATAAGACATCTATGACAACAGATTTTTATCAAAATAGAGAAAATAACTGCTAAAGGATAAATTTTACTTATCTCTTACACAACCTATCTTTTTATTGCTTTTATTCAAGTCTATGTCTGATAATCTGCAGATAAGTAAAATTTGTAGATACTATTTTGATAAATCTGTGATAAAAGTCTATGTTCCTTGAGATCTGTTGTTATACCTAGATCTACATATTTTTTACAAAAGTTCTCTCTCCTAAATCTCAAAGTAACATCAATTATCTAATCAACACATATAATCATTTTTCATGAGACTAAAAACAGTACATAAAAATTTATAGCTATTTATAAATTAAACATACAATCAAATTATTAAGGGACGGTGGAGGCATTTTGTATCCACATGGGATTTCAGCTAACATTTTTGTGATTTAACTAAAGTGTTTCTCAGAGCTTATTTTTTGAAGTATTATTTTCAAAACAGAAATTTGAAGCAATAACAGATAGCACTAAGTCTTGTGTTTATTATTTTTGTACTGTTTGTTCTCGTTTTAGGGAAGTAGAACTATAGCTTTCTCCTTAAAATGTAGGCATTATTCATTCTTTATCAAATTTACAATTAATAAGTATAAGCAGCAAAACCATTAAAAATAACATTAAGAATGCTTTGCTACTCTAAACAATTTTTCAGCTCATTAAAAAATTCCTGCACCAAAGCTTTATTTATTTACTATAAGAAAATTGTAGGGGTATGCTTTAAACAGTAAATACTTAAAAATCATACTAAATGCTTAAACTGATACACTAAAACAAGAAGCATAAAAATCCAAGCAAATTGAACAAGCATGGGATAAATACATGAGATCACAGTAGTGTAAGTATCTACAAGTTTCATCGCAACAATTTCTTCTTTGTTTAGATGGCAGAAAAGTTTATACAAAAATAGAACCACTTGTAAAGACAGCAAGCATCAATGGAATGTATATTAGAAACTTTGTTGCCCAAATCTTTTTTCATCTAACATCAACATTTTTAAGATAAATTAGGCACAATACTACATTTGATACAATACATTCTAATATCCATAAAATTAAAATTCACCATTAAACAAAACCAATATAATGGACATACTTAGTGAAATTGAATTATTTAACTTTTTAATCTAAATCTTTTCTTTATAATTGCTCACATGAAGTCATTCCTCTTTACACTTAAATAGCAATTTAAGAAATATGTAAGGTAACTTCATGTTCATGCACAGTAAAACAAGGGAAATAACTCAATAGGAAAATTTTCCATTTCAGTATGCACCTAAGTTCATTTTGTACTCTATGATAAAAGTTTAAACTACCATAGGATACAAAAATTAAGCTAGATGAAACATAAATATCAATTATTTTTTAAGAGTTGTGTTTATATTTACCTACCTAATCTATTGAAGTGGGGACAGTTATAAAAGAAATTTTAAAATTTTAATTAACAATTCATTCGTTAAAAATTTTTTGCATTTGCCTTACGTCTGTAAACAGGTAAGAACATCATATGTATGGAATGTTTTATACTCACAGTTTTTTGGATTTGTAGAATAAAACAAAGGTAATGGCACACTAGAACTTTTTTGTCTCTTTAACATCTTAAAACATGGTGTGGGACTCACCAAGAAAAACAATGGAATTTGTTCTGACAATGCTAAACAAATTACTCCAACCAAACAAGTTGGATAAGTATTAAAATTTTAAAATGTAAGCCTCTTTGAATTATGACATCATGCAATATCTTTTCGGACAGGATAATATTATGGCATCTGACAATTAATGTTGCATGAATACATAAAGCATTTAATTTTTGTATGAAATTGAAAAAGAAATTATGAAATTTGTTTATGAATCCATTTTAAATAATGATTGAGGCTATTAAAACCTATTCATTACTTCCTTAATATCTGCTCTAGCTTTTAGCGATGATTTTGGTGTAACTAAACTTAACAGAACTTTGTTTATCTTTGTTTGTTGACATTCATTAAGTTTCTTAACCTCTGCAGGTTCTCAGTAGTGACTTTATCATTAGGCTTGAGCTCCAGAGCTTTCAGGTAAGCCTGCTCAGCTTGTGGGTATTTAGCATTGATGTGCAGCATTGCTCCGAGGTTCATCCATGCTGAGGGCTCCTGTCACAAATTTTAGACATTTTTTTAAGTTAAAGGAACATTGAAAACAAAATGTAAGCTCATGCTGCTTGATTAAAGAACTAAAGAACTGATTCAAGGATTTAGATTGTTTTTAAATATGTTACTGCCACTTTGACCATCCACCTCTCCAACCAGATGGTTTTAACTGCCTCTAACTTACAGCTTAACTGCTTAAAAAAATAAAAAACTAGTTTAAGAAATAATTAAAACTACCTTTGGTTTGAGTTTCACAGCTGATAAATATAACTCCTCTGCTTTTTGCTTCATTTCAGCCTCCCTGATATAAAAAAAAAATCAAATTTACAACTTGTAGAAAGAATAAAATCTTTTTTATCATTATAAAAATAATACTCAAGTCAGACATGCGCTAAAAATATAAGCTAATTCATTTATTACATTTAAAATGCATTTTCAATACATTTAAGGAAAAAATTTTTTTTTGTAAACTTTAATATTTGTTAATTTGCAGTCATTTGTTAATAAACATTAACATATAGTTGCGGAAACTAATGAGTTTAGCTATTAATATTATATTTAAAAAACATTCTGCTTATTTTATAAGCAAATTAATTTCACACACTTAGCAATAATTTACCTGTAGACATTTGCAGCATTAAAAACTATGTCAAAGTCATGATTCATGGCTGGGAGCAGCTTTTCAAATATTGCAATGCTATCAGTAAATCTGTGCATTGTAGCATACAGCTGGGCTATTTTGAACAAATAAAGGTCAGTTACAAGAAAATGTAGCTAACAATCTTAATTTAAAATTTTCTACAAGAAAATGTAACCTACAATCTTAATTTAAAATTTTCAACTAGAAAATGTAGCCTACAATCTTAATTTAAAATTTTCAAAAGAAAATGTAGTCTACAATCTTAATTACAAATTTCTAATATGGCTAATCATGCCAATAAAGTTTGTTTGTTTACCTCTATGAAAGTCAATGGCTGTGTCTGTGGGATTGTGCTGTTTAGCCTTGTCAAGCCATTTCTCTGCTTCTTCCCACTGAGACTGTGAATCAATATTAGTTTTAGGTGTTAAATACATTTTTACTCAAAAATTCATGTTTTGTTATTTAAACCTTGAAAGAAAAATACAAACTATAAAACTATACAATTTAATTGATATAAAATGTAAAAATGTTTTGATTCAACCTTGGCTTGGTTTAGCTTGGACATTGTTAAGTGTGCTGGGAGATGGTCATGTTTGCTCTTCAGGGCCTCTAGATACCATTTTTCAGCTTCTGCTAATTGTCCCATTTTAAAGTAAACTTCACCTAAAAATGTATTAAACGCCCAATTACATTTTGCACATAATGCTATTTTTCAAGTAAAAAACTGTTCATATGTTTATTTTCATTAAAATAATTGCAAACCTTGTTTTACCTATCATGTTATATAGACTCTGAGGAGCATAGTGGTCTGGCTTTCTTTCTAATGCCTTGTTAAACATTTCCAATGATTCCTAAGTAATGTAACAATATTATATCATGAACCTTAATAAAATATTTTGATAGTAATTCAGTAATGTTCAAAAACTTAACTTGCATTTTATAGGATACTTATGATTCATTGATATTTTACAGAAGTTAAAAAAAAAATAGTGTACTCTATAAATCAATGATTACAGGTATATTCAGAGAAATACCTTTTTAATTGGATAGAAATTGTTTTAAGCAAATATAATCTATATAATCCAAAATAAATGATTCCATGTATCCTCTAGTTGTGAACATAATTTTTTAAGCTTTAAGAAATTAGTCAGCTGACAGCCTAATACCTGCAGCTTATCCTGATCCATGAGTAGACGGCCATGATTGAACATACAGGAGATCTTTGTATTGTCATGGAGCCTGGGGTCTTTCAGACCTGAGGTGTCAAGGTCAGCACACCTGCTGTAGATCTGAAAGTACATTTTTTTTTTAATTTAAAATTTTTCTTCCCTTACTGAGCATATGTTGGTGTTTTTATTGAAATGACTTAATTAAAAAAAAAATAGTTATAAGAATTCAATGTTTAATGGATAAATGGAACATTTAAATTCAATTAATTCAAATATCATTTTCTTGTATTTAATTTAGGACTAAAGAATAAAAGACACTGTAGGCTCAAACAAGTTTGTTATTGAGTGTTACCCACAAATTAAACATAGTAAATTTAAATTAATTAATACAAAAACTTCCTTAGACAACAGGAATTTTTATGAGTAAAATTCTTTTTGCTTTTTCATGAGTTAATTACCTTTTTAGCAAGCTCATGATCTCCAATTTGTGAAGTTATAATACCAAGATTCAAATGTGCAACTATAAACAATTAAAACAATGATTACAATTAAACAATAGGTTTAATAAAAATGACAGAATGTTTACTAACATTTGGGGGAGTATGAGGCAACAGTAAGTTTTTTGTTTCCTTTCATCTATTATCTTTGACAAACTGTACATATTTTTTTTTTTGCAAATATAGCATTTTACCTTTCATAATCAATCACAATTATTAAAAATAAATAAATAAAGCTGGTGGTTTAATTAATTACCTTTCTAAGGTTGTATATATAGGCCATATATATTAATAAGTAAACAGTATATAAATAATACCTGATAATTTAGGCCGGAACTGAATTGCTTTTTTATAGCTCTCCACTGCTTCTTCAAATCTGTTCTGGTTCTGTAAAAGTATTCCACTGGAAAAGAAATGGGTGTGTGCTTTCATTTTGGTTGGGAACATGACATTTTTTTTTGTAAACATCAAAAAATAATTGTTAAGTTTCAAGTGTATTTGATGCAATGTGTTAGAGTTAAGTAGTTTGCTCTACAGTTTAAATTATCTAAAAAAAAGTTTTTATGAGTTTATGTTAATTTATCTTAACATTAAATTAAATATTACTACAGTCTGCTCATCTATAACCCTCAACAAAAAAAACATAAAACATACCCTTATCAAACCCCAAGCAAACTTAGCTTTTAGGTCAACATTAACTCAAAACTATAGTACATTTAATAGCTTATTATTATAATTTGTTTTATTTTCTACTTTTGAGCAATGCGTTTTTATTGAAGTAAAAATCAAATCCGATTCAAAACCCAATCATTAGCTTGGAACCTCTAAAAAAATTATATGCCCTTTTTAGTCTCAGGAAAGAAACAAACCAACCATAACCAAACAGTTCACTGTCAACAGCCAACTGATAACGCTAATAATTAAACTAGTGTCTAATTCAAATTAAAATATAGATATTCTTGCATTGTTATCTAAGATAAATGTATCTGTAAAGTGTAAAGTTTGGATGAAATAGAGGCATTGGAAGTGGTTCAAAATTGAGTAACAAGATTCGCCATAAACTCATAAACAAACAAGTATACATTGTAAACTAAACAAAAGCTTATAAAAATCCTACAGGTTGTAATGCACATCAGCCATGTTAGGTCTGTATGTCAGAGCATTTCTATAGGCCTGTTCTGCCTTGTCCACTTCGTGCTTATCATTGAAGATGTTGGCCAGATTTCCCCAGGCTAAAAAAACACATTAATTTACATAACTGGCAACTCAACTATTTTAAGAACATGAGTGAGAAAAAAAGAATCTAAATTATTTAAATATATAAGGGGAGAGCACTCAAGACAATAAAAGCTCAGGAAAAAACATCAGCTATCTCATAATTTATTCATATGTCCAGGTTATGTTTTTAACACATAAATGTCAAGCTATCTACTCCAGCTCCACAGAGGCTTCTGATATTTATATTTGTATTATAAACATGGCTAAAAATATCAGTTTTAAAACTATTGAGTGGCATTCAGTGTTTTTTCCAGGCATCTCTTAGGGGAAGGAGTAAAGCGAAAAATGTCTTCCGCCCTCCACCCTCTCCAAGAACGAAATAGAATTTGGTATTTATATACAAAATATGTACTTCAACTACAACCATTGCCCCCCCCCCCCCCCAAATAAAAAAAATAATAAATAAATCAATTGCCACACTCCCCTTCTAAGATTTTATTTCAATCGCAAAGGGGGGGGGGGGGGGCGGGGTGGACGTGGGTGTGCTAATGCCATACTTAACTGAGCACGATATTTAATGTCATTTCAAGTAAGTTCCCATGTATTGAATGAACTCGCTAAACGATGTGTCATAAATCTTAAGGGGGGACCAGTACTTAAAAATCGCATTTTCATTATCTTTTTGCCTATGTATATTTAATAGTCTAATGCAACTCTAACATCTCATCAATTACTTGAACTAATCTACTGTACTCAAAAAATGTGTTAGAATACTTATTTTAGTGTTTATAGATGCCTAGTTTGGATAACATTTTATTTTTTACAAAAATAAGCATTGACACTTTTTGGTCTACTCCAAATTTTCTAAAGAAGAAATATTAAAAACTGTCTTACAGAATACAGTGAAACTTGCACAGTCTTTACAATATAGGTTGTTCTACAAACTGATAGAAGCTTTTAATGATACCCTTCTTTATTTAATTTTTATGGTTGTTTAAAGTTCATGTCTCTCCACAAAGACTCTTTTTTCTAAGTGACTTTGAAAAAAATTCATATTTTAAAAAGTTTGTGTTTAATCTAAACATCCTTCTATCAGTTTGTTCTGTAACCATTTCTAAATGTGGCTTTTACTTTATGTATTATTATGTCTTATACGTACTGAGATTTTTAGCATACAAAATTGCATATAAAAATACATATAAACTCAACTTTTTGGGGTTCAACATTTGTTCTCAACATGTTTGAGATATGTTATCTTTAAAACATATCAATATCTTTGTTTTAGCTATGTAGACAATGTTCAATTGCTGATCTTTAATAAAATAAAAATTAAGTACCGGTCCCCCCTTAACCCCCAAAAAATCCTCAATTTTACGTGGCTACATTTTACCCTTTTCATTTGGGTCCTTTTTAAAAACTATCTTCCACATTTTTTTCTACAGTAAATATACGTAGCAGGCACTGAAGTTACAGTCTAGGGGAGGATGTATTTGGGTGTGGGTGTAAGACGGGATGACCTCACACTTGAGGGTTTGAGTTTGTGTGAAGATGTTAGACGGTGGATCACAATCTTGACACAGTCGACATAAGTTATTTATAGATTAGAGCATTTATTTATTCACCAGCTGAGATGACTTATAGATAGCCTTTTATTTCTAGATAGTCTTTTATTTCTAGATAGCCTTTTATTTCTAGATAGCCTTTTATTTCTAGATAGCCTTTTATTTCTAGATAGCTTTTTATTTATAGATAGCTTTTTATTTATAGATAGCCTTTTATTTATAGATAGCCTTTTATTTATAGGTAGCCTTTTATTTATAGATAGCCTTTTATTTATAGATAGCCTTTTATTTATAGATAGCCTTTTATTTATAGATGGCCTATATTTATTAATATATTTCCGTTTTTAAGGGTATAATCTGTAAGAGATGAGAACGACAGAGATTTACGAGGATTACCTTTGGCAGGATTGACGCCGATTCCAGCACTGTACAGCCGCTCTTCCGTCTGCCAGTCCCGATTCCTCAGCACGGTCTTAGCGCTGTAGGACACCACGAGAAGCACCAGTCCAGCCAGCACCAGCTTCCTCCTGGGTCCTTCCTTGGCGTGCGTGTAGAGCACCTGCACGCCCAGCCCGACCAACAGGCAGAAGCCCATGCTGGGGATGTACAGGATCCGCTCCGCCACGACGAAACCGACGTAGAAGAACAGGTTGGTGGCGGGGATGAAGGGGAAGACGATAAGGGCGAGGGAGATGACGATAATGTCCACCTGCCGAATGGAGACTGGTGGTGACGCCATTATTTTCCCGCCATTATTCTCATCATAAGATCTGGATTTCGACGATCCGTTGGAATGTGAAAAACTACTTCCGGATATGCCAGTTCCGTTCGTGTATGTCTTAGATGCCATGGCTGAATATTTCCGTTTGAAATATTTCGTTTGGTCGAAATCTGATGTCGCGTCGTCTTTTTGTATGGAGTTGAGCACGTGGAAAACAAGATAAAACATGGATGCATAGAATATCAAGGTGAAGATGTTTCTGTGGTCACCAAGCCCCTCCACCAGCGGCACCGCCTCCATCGACCAATCAAAACTCAGCACCTTCGGACACAGCAGCAGCCAAAAGTTCAACGAAGGGAGGTAATTGTAGGTCAGCACCCGGGCCGTCAGGCTGTCGGAGTCTGAGGCTGGGTTGTCAGAGGGAGCGAACTCCGGCGGCTTGTTGCCCATGAAGTAGATTCTGAAGCCCAGCAAACAGGAACCACAGACGGCCAGGAATATCAGACCTTCAAGGGCGGGGCGGAACTTGGGCTGAAAGAAAACAGGGTAACGATCAAATTTCCTCAAGTAACACTTCTATGATATAATTTATATTTTTGTATATTTTATATTCTGCACATAAATGACGTCACGTTAAGACCCTGATTGGTTTCTCCCACTCCATCGTCACACGCCGTCACCCCCCCCCCCCCCTTTTACCTAAAGTGACGTCACATTTCAGCTTAAATTCCTACTAATCAAATTTTCTTCATGAAAGTATGAACCTCCCCTTCCCCCGTTTTCACCTAGAAATGTCATATTATTTATGGTAGACACCCCCACCCCCCCTGAGCCAAAATGTTAAATATAACACTAGGCATAACCTGTTAAATTACACTAAGCATATTCCTCGCCACTATTCTCTAAAGAAGTCTATCACATGAAAAAAAAATTCTTGTTTGTTGACTCTAAGCGCAGCAAGTCTAAGATAATCCTAAAAGCAGCAAAATGTTTTCTCTGAGTTTTTAAAACACAGTAAACATTATTTAAATTTTGAAATTAAATATGTTTACCACCCCCCCCCCCCCTCTCACCCTCACCCCACCCCTAAAATACACAAGGCACAAATTGTAGCCGGAGCATACTCGGGCAGTCTGCGGCTGTGTGGAGGGGGAGAGGATGTTGTTTGAGGTGACCGACTAGCCAGTGTTCGAGGTGAGGGTGGGGTGAGGGGGGGGGGGGGGTAAAGTCAAAATTCCCCCACCCCCGGATCTTTATCAACTAAATGCAGGCGTGCAGTTTTCATTACAGTCGCGACATTGTCATGTTGTCAATACAGAATAAAGTGGAGGTGGGGGTGGGGTGGGGTTGAGGAGGCGGTGGAAGTTAGGGAGGAGGGCGGGTGATGCCAGAAATAAAAAAGTACAAGACCAATAAGAGAAGGAGAGAGAGAGAGAGAGAGAGAGAGAGAGAGAGAGAGAGAGAGAGGGGGAGAGAGAGAGAGAGAGAGATAAAGAAGGAGAGAATCAGAGAGAAAGAACGGGTTAAAATATTACCCGATTTCTATAAATAGATTTTTTTTCACCTCTTGTCTAAGCTGTTGACACACCAGTAATCGAATCCCTACCCAATCCTGAAATATGACTGCAGCTAAACTCTGGCTGCAGCTACAATTGAAGGCTAGCTATGTCGTGTTTGGCATCTCTTGTCTTTCCCCAGACACACACAAAAATCCATTACCAACCTTTCGTTTTCAATGCAAATGTTGAATCAGTTTTTTTCTCCTTCTCTTTGTACATGGTCTGGTCTCAACGCCAAGTTATTCAAGCTCTCCCCTCCTCCCCCACCCTGACTTGTTTGTTTAGCCAATCCTCTGTCCACCCCGAGCTTTTTTTTTTGCCGGACTCTCACCCCCCCCCTCCCCACCCCAGCCTTTATGTATTCTCAATTTGTTTAACGCAACCTTATCGCACAGCACACAACATTTAAAAAAAAAATCCCACCCCAACCGAATTTGTATATCCGCACCTCCAAAGATTTTTTCCCCTTCACACCCCTGACCCACTTTTTATAAGTAGCACCCTTAAACAATTATTTTCAGTTGCACCCCAATCAATTCGTCTATTCCCACCCCCAAACTAGATCGTCTATTCCCACCCCAACCAATTTGTCTATTCGCACCCCCAACCAATTTGTCTATTCGCACCCCCCAACCAATTTGTCTATTCGCACCCCCAACCGATTTGTCTATTCGCACCCCCAAACCAATTTGTCTATTCGCACCCCTCAACCAATTTGTCGAACTGCCCAGACACCCAAGCACTCGACAGCGTCATGCGCATTGAGCACCTCGTCACTCACATCCGGTGCTGCACGTGAGACGAGAAACAGGAAGTACATGACATAAGTGCCACGTGATCCTGAACACGCTCAGGGAAAGACAAACATTTTCTTAGGAGAGTAAAGGCCCCTAATTGGGTTCGTCTTTACTTTACACTGAAGACAAGCATGGGCAACGATCTAGTCTGACAGTTTTAAACAAAGAATTTCTCCCGAGTCATCACATTATATTAGCAGTGGTTTTGGCTAATTTTACTGAACCAAACGCCTATGTATGCTAAAATAAATAAATTAAATTAAAAATAAATAAATAAAAATACGAAAAAAAAAAACCCACACCAAAATTTAATTTACATTTTACACACCAACTGCATAATTATTTATTTTTAAAACGTAAGAAACCATTGTGAGAAATATTTTCGTACAAAACTATTAGCAAACATCTTTTATGGACATCTGGTAAATAAGAGGCCCCCTCCCCTCTCCATAGACTGGTGAAAACTAACAAGTTTCTTTACAGATTACTGACAAGGAGAGCAAACATTTCGACACTAACATTGATACATGATGTGTTTTTCTAACGATAATAATAGAAAAAAAAAAGGTTTGATTTCGGGGTTTGACCGTAGCGAAGTTTGGCGATATGGATTGTCGTTTTTTTTTTTTTTATCTATCGACCAATTTGGCGAGGGAAAGATCAGTTTTGACCGCGAAATGTGTCCACTAATAAATCACGGAATTAACTGAATAATTTGACGCGAGATCGAGGCTGTGATTGAGGGGGGGGGGGGGGGGGCACCGTTAAGCAGGCAGAGTTGGGTAGAGAGGGACAGAGAGACAAGGCGTAGTGTAATGTGTGGGGGTGGGGAGGGGGAGGGGTGAGAGTCGCAGGGTGTTATGGGGGGAGGGAGAGAGCAGTGGGGTGGTGAAATGTGGTTTTGTGATGGGGGAGGGTGGAGGGTATCGTCGCAAGGAGGAAGATGGAGTGGGGTGGAGGGAAGAGTGGGATAAAAGAAGAAATCTTCCCGGACATGCTGACTTCCCTTTACGTGGCGGGACGGTGCTGACAAATGGGAGACATCAATCAAAAGCTCCGGCACTATTTAACCACACACATTGTGCAAATATGTTATAAACACTACGTGACCGATTGTTAACCGATGCCGGTGGCGGTTATCTGGCTACAGACAGAAGAGGGAGTAGCGGCCCCTGACGCTGGGGGGGGGGGGGGGGGAGGTGGGGAGGGAGGGTTTCTAGCGACAGACAGAAGAGGGAGTAGCGGCCCCTGACGCTGGGGGGGGGGGGAGGGTTTCTAGCGACAGACAGAAGAGGGAGTAGCAGCCCCTGACGCTGGGGGGGGGGGAGGGTTTTTAGCGACAGACAGAAGAGGGAGTAGCGGCCCCTGACGCTGGGGGGGGGGGGAGGGTTTTTAGCGACAGACAGAAGAGGGAGTAGCGGCCCCTGACGCTGGGGGGGGGGGAGGGTTTCTAGCGACAGACAGAAGAGGGAGTAGCAGCCCCTGACGCTGGGGGGGGGGGGGGGAGGGTTTCTAGCGACAGACAGAAGAGGGAGTAGCAGCCCCTGACGCTGGGGGGGGGGGGGGAGGGTTTTTAGCGACAGACAGAAGAGGGAGTAGCGGCCCCTGACGCTGGGGGGGGGGGAGGGTTTTTAGCGACAGACAGAAGAGGGAGTAGCGGCCCCTGACGCTGGGGGGGGGAGGGTTTCTAGCGACAGACAGAAGAGGGAGTAGCAGCCCCTGACGCTGGGGGGGGGGGGGGGAGGGTTTTTAGCGACAGACAGAAGAGGGAGTAGCGGCCCCTGTCGCTGGTGGATTAAAAAATAAAACAGTACATCGCAGTGAGGAACTGACTCAAAGAGGCACTCACTTACAAAATGCCCATTGCCGAGGAACTGACTTAATGACTTGTCCCCAGTGCCGACTGACTGGCTAAAAGAATGACTGTCCCCAGTGACCGGGCCATTAAGTCAGTGTAATAAATGACTTTAACGGTCACCAATCACTGGCGTGGCCCACTAAATATTGATCTGTGGTAGAGGTGGAGGCCAAAAATACCCTGAGAGGTAAAATGTTTACAGTTGAAGTTCTTAAAGTGATGGGTGTGTGTTTGGGGGGGGGGGGTGGGTGGGAGGTTGGGAGTTGAGTTAGGGATCGGAAGTAATTGAAGAGTAACGAGGAAAATTATTCCGCGATGGAGACGCTCATAATAGGATTTATGAGTATACATAGGTATATTGTGATATGAAGATAAAGTCAATGGTTTAACAATTAGTGGTGACAACCATGACGTAACGATTGGTGACACTGAAAATAACAAGGAGAAAAAGTAGTGACACCGATGCATGTCGATCACCCCTACCGAGAAAATATACAACACTTTTCATACGGCCATGTCAACATTTCTCATACGGCCACACTAACATTTCTCATATGACCATACCAACATTTCTCATATGGCCATACCAACATTTCTCATATGACCATACCAACATTTCTCATATGGCCATACCAACATTTCTCATATGACCATACCAACATTTCCCATATGACCATACCAACATTTCTCATATGGCCATACCAACATTTCTCATATGGCCATACCAACATTTTTCATATGACTATACCAACATTTATCAAATGACCACATCTCTACCTCCCAGTCTAGCCTCTAAACGTGTGTACCCAGCGAGAACCACTCGCCTCTCCGTGCAGACGACAGCACCACGTATCATATTGCCCACAGACAGCCAGAGGTGTCCGTAGAAGCCTCGCTCAAAGCTCGGCCCACTGGCTCCATGACACCGTGCCGGGCTGTTAATGTCCGCAGCCCTATGTCAGTCGTTGGCGGTACAGGAAACTGGATCTTTCAGGTTTTGTTAGTTCCTGAAACCTTTATGGGTGAGGTTGTAACGGATTCAGTAAAAGTGTATTCCTTTAGAAGCTAAATGTACCTAGATTAAACACTATTATAAGAGCACACACACCCGTGTAACAAACCTTCGTCTAGAGAATTTTAGACTACTCGATTGCAGACAAACTGACCCCTGGTCAACTCGACGTTACTTAACAAAACTTAAAAGAACATAACACAAAATGTCATAGTGGTCTAACAACCCTTAGAAAAGACAGACACATAGCCCACTATGAAACAACACGTTGGAGGGTAAAGATTGATGTATCCCCAATGACCAGCACTAGACTGTTTAACCACACACCCTTAGACAACAGAAAAACTAGCTCTGATTTATGTTGGTTCTAAGCCAGGCGTTCAGTAGACCCACTGTTGCTTGATTATCAGTCTGAAATACATACATCGGTATCATTCGTATGTTATAACAGTACTCTATTCTTATACAGCTTTACTTTAAAGCGCCCATTTCAGACCTTGAAATCTATAGGCAGATGAAGTATAGTTCATGTTTCTTTAACTCGGTATATGAAGGGATGGTGTGGTCAGCACTAAGCCTAGCCGCATTTACTTTCCCCAACGTTAGTCGGGTATGTATTTTAACTGGGTGGACTCAGGGACGTCATACAGTAAGAGGTCTGGAACTCAAGACATTAGGACAAGAAGCCCAACTTTACTGTTTTGTATCCCATTTCTAATATTACAGTAAAACACCTTGTATTTACTGCAACTATTTACTCTTATTCTTATCATCCATTACACCGCCCCAAGGATCAATACGGCTCTATTCTGCCCTTAATACAACGCTAAACATTAGTTTACTGCGCTAAACATCCTCAGGTACACTCCATAGAACAGCACCAAGTACACCTATAATTGTGCTCAAACAACGCCTATGACTGCCCCAAACTTTTCCTGATTCTGTTCTATTAATCTTGTAGATCTGCTCCCAAAGACTTTAAAGGACTGATCTACATATCTCAAACGACTACTTTAAAGCACTAAAGGGCTGCTTCAAACAAATATATAAAAGTACAGCTCTATTAATGTATCAAAGGGCTGCACCGACCCATCTTAAAATAATGTTCCCTACATCTGTAAGCCCAAAATACCCAGTTATTTTAGGACAGATCTCTACATCTGTAGACCCCAAACATCAATTTATTTTTAGACAGTGCCCTACATCCGTAACCCCCAAACATCCAGTTATTTTTAGAAAGTGCCCTACATCCGTAACCACCAAACATCCAGTTATTTTTAGACAGTTCCCTACATCCGTAGGCCCCTTAAAACATCCAGTTATTTTTGGACAGTTCCCCACATCCGTAGGCCCCTTAAAACATCCAGTTATTTTTAGACAGTTCCCTACATCCGTAGGCCCCTAACGTCAAGTTATTTTTAGACAGTTCCCTACATCCGTAGGCCCTTTAAAACATCCAGTTATTCTCCCCACACGCTGCGCCGAGTCAAAATTCGAAACCCTCTCCCCAATCCTGGCCTATAATTATAATCTCGACCCTCCCATTATCCTCATCAGACGACACCCGTACCCCGGGGGCAATAACTCCGATGCATACAATTTTTTTTGTAAAGATGATGCAGCTTCGCAAGGTGCGTAATCCACCGTATGCCTAGAGTTGTCTCCCATCCACTTTTCCCCCCGTCGTTGCATTCACTAGTTCTTGAATATCATTTCTGTAGTCTTTTATCCCTTATCCCGCTATCCCAATCCCAAAAACGACGAAAATATCCACATTCTAGAGCAGAGATAAATACTACGTCCGCACTCCTCGTTTCATTAAACAAACCCTCAACCGATCGTATGCTAGGATAACCTAACCGTTTCCTTTCATCTCACCCATCAATTCATGTGTAATTTTGTCATCATCCGACCTACATTTAGAAAAAAAAATCGGGTACCCCAATGACGGAGACAAACGCGAGAAAAGGGAAACAGCAAGTTGGGATAATGGTGAGGGAACTGGCTACACCCAACTAGAGGCTAGCTCTTGTTTTTGTAGGCTCAGTGCTGTAATCAGGATGAAAGCCACGCAATTATGTGCTTCACCCAGCTAAAAACGGCACTCAGCATGTGGCTGTTACACAGAATACGGGCGCTCAAAGAAAGATGTTCAAAATGTTTTGAAATGTAAATGGGTTTTTTCTTTTCAACGTGATTTGAAAATTGTTCTCTAAATGTGGAGATAAAAATGTAGATCCGTGTTTAATTGTTGCATGAGGTGTGATTGTGGAGAGATTGAAATATTGAAGTCAAACTGTAGGTTGTTTATGTGATGTTGATGTGATATTTATGTGGTGTGATTTAGGTGGTGTTGATGTAATATTTCTGTGGTGTGATTTAGGTGGTGTTGGTGTGATATTTATGTGGTGTGATTTAGGTGGTGTTGATGTGATATTTATGTGATGTGATTTAGGCGGTGTTGATGTGATATTTATGTGGTGTGATTTAGGTGGTGTTGATGCGACGTGTTGGGGTGCTGATGACATTTTATTTGATGCTAAGGTGATGTTCGTTACATATTGGATGGTGTAATGTTCGTAGGAAATGGTGAGATGATATGTGAAGTCTGTGGTGAAGATGTCATATCTATGTGATGTTGTGGTAAAGTGAGGTGTTGAAGTGATGCTAGCTTGGTGTTGGGATAAGGTGTGGCGTTGATGTGATGTTTGTGTGGTGTTTTGGGTGATGTTGATGCGATGTCCGTGGTGTGTAGCAGTGCTGTGTGTGAGTTGTAAAATGTACTTATGACGAGAGTGGTGTGTGTTTGTGATGTGTGTGAGTTTGTGATGTGTGCGTGTGTGAGCTTGTGATGTGTGCGTGTGTGTATGTGTGTGTGAAGTGTGTCTAATATTTTCATGATGTTTCTCAACAGCAATACTAGAAACAAAACCGTCTTAAGCTGACTTAAAAAAAAACATTCTAATAAAACAAATAAATGTTTGTTTTACACAAGAAAATAAAGAAAGTTGTTTACCTTAAAAGATTATATGTAGAGAGTGACATAGAGTGACATAGAGTGCCAGAGATATATCTTTCACCACAAGAAGCAGAGAATAATAACCTTGTGTTTTACTTTATTTTTTCGGAAAGGGGTCGACTATAAATGACGTCTCACTCGTAGGGGGGCAGGGGTACGTAATTTTGTGATGGTGTGTGATGAGGGGGAGGGGGGCGGGTTTCAGATGGTATGACGTCACACTTTTGCATTATATTAAAAGCAATGCTAGAAAACGAATTTTAGCTGTTATTTTGCGTTTTAGAAAACTGTTTTAATAAATTGTAATAGGAATTGATTAAAATACTTTATGTTGACATAGTTCAGATAAGATTTTGGAAAAAATGTCGGAGGGTTGTAGGCTGAGGTGTGACGTCATTTTAGGTGGGGGGGGGGGTGTCTGGCTTTTTGTGACGATGTGTGACGGAGGGGAAAGGGGGGGGGTGTAAATTGCGAAAAGAAACCGTGACGTCATTTATGGATGACCCACAAGTCCACGATGATTATGGTGATATTTTTTTTTTTACTTTAACAATGATCAGTTATAAAACTGCTTATTGTACATTACTAAAGATATACAATGTTTACTACATATGTCTACTGTAAATGTGATTATGATGTGCATAAGTTCGTTGTAAAAAGACGCTTAACATTGGTATAAGTCGTCTAGACGTAATGCAGGATTGATGATTGTGTTAATGGCACACAAGGGTCGTTCGAAAAGTTTCGACTTTTGATACAACACAACAAAACCACACACTCATGCTTAAATAAAAATAAAATAGAAATAACCCAAATCCCGAAATCGATACCCTACACCACTTCACTTGTTTTCGGCTTTAACTCGACTCAAATGTTAAACCGGCGAGATCATGGGGGGGGGGGGGGGGGGGGGTGGAGTGTAACAAAGAATGTCTGCGACAATAGACTGTGACTTGTGTGTTGGGCTAACACACCTTGTGACACTTGTGTGTTGGGCTAACACACCTTGTGACACTTGTGTGTTGGGCTAACACACCTTGTGACACTTGTGTGTTGGGCTAACACACCTTGTGACACTTGTGTGTTGGGCTAACACACCTTGTGACACTTGTGTGTTGGGCTAACACACCTTGTGACACTTGTGTGTTGGGCTAACACACCTTGTGACACTTGTGTGTTGGGCTAACACACCTTGTGACACTTGTGTGTTGGGCTAACACACCTTGTGACACTTGTGTGTTGGGCTAACACACCTTGTGACACTTGTGTGTTGGGCTAACACACCTTGTGACAGCAGACTATAACGTGTGTGCTGGGCTAACACACTTTGTGACAATAGATCGTAACTTGTGTTGGGCTAACACGCTTTGTGACAGTAGACAACGCGTGTTACAGGACATCACACGTTGCTCACACGCTATCACACCTGTCAGCAACACAGGTAAAAACTCACCTGCGTGAAGATCTCCAGGGTGCAGACGTGACGTAACGACGCCCGGTGCACGACGATGACGTCATAGGTCGCGCACACGGCCAGCACGGTCAAGGCCTGCTCTTTGGTCAACATGGCCGCCGTGGTCAGCACCAGCACCAGCCCGGCCGTCAGCCAGCGTGACCCCGGGCTGTCTGATGACCTCTGGCTGACGTATTTCCGGTAGCAGATGAAGGTCAACACGACCAGCAGACAGGCCAGAATGTCAGCGCGACCTACCACCCCGGCCACAGCCTCCGTGTGGATGGGATGAGCCGCGAAGGTTAATCCAGCGGTCAGGGTCCCGAGATCGGAACCCAGCAACGCCCTGACTAACACAGTGTAAACGAAAGTAGTGAGGGCGTGGCAGATGACGTTCCCTAAGTGGTACCCCCAGGGGTCGAGGGCACCGAGGTAGTAGTTGAGCCTGAAGGTCAGGACACAGAGGGGTCTGTAAGATTTGTGCGACCCACTGTGGGTCAGGGGGGTCCCCCAGAAATCGTCGTAGACTAGGTTCCATAATGGCGTCTCCGGCAGCAGATCTGGGTTCTTCAATATAGCACGACTGTAAACAAAAGAGTCAAAGCATTTAAAACGTGCACTGTAATAAAATAACGAACAAATCCTGCTACATGTTTTGTTACCTAGCAGATTATAAAATTACAATACATTTTTAAAAAATATTTTCGGTTTTGATTTATAAAACGAAGGATAATTAAAACAAAATCTAACTTTAATATTTTAAGAATAGACTATTAGCTCACTTAGATAAATTTAACTCAATTTTTAACGTCGCCCATAAAAACAGAATCCAGTTTGTTTATATGATATACACGTAGCTTTTGAAAGTAATGTGAACCTTTAGCAGTCAGATCGCCTATAAAAGGATCTTTACATCTTTCAGATAAACAGGTCGTGTCTCGTTATCTGGATGTTGTTTTATTTCAATGTGGCGTCACACTATCTGTTTACACAGAATTATCGCAAACATTAACTTAATTAAACATTTATTTAAATATGCAGCTTTGGATCAACTCAAACATATTCTGCGTGGATTAACTCAAACATATTCTGCTTGGATTAACTCAAACATATTCTGCTTAGATTAACTCAAACATATTCTGCTTGGATTAACTAAAACATATTCTGATTGGATTAACTAAAACATATTCTGCTTAGATTAACGGAAATATATTGTTTGGTTTTAACTCAAACAAATTCTGCTTGGATAAACAAATATTCTTTACAGTTAACCAACATGCTTTCTGTATTTTGTTTAAAAAAAAAAAGTCAGATACGTGATGCATGTTTGCTAAAGTTTTTTAAAGGTCGTTTTTGTGTGAGGTTGTAAGGTCATGCATATGTATGAGGATTTTGTTTTAGCTGGGAATGGAAGAGGGGGGGGGGGGGGGATAAGGGAGGGATAAGGGCGGGATAAGCAGGACAAAAAGCTCAGTTCATGAAGACACGAACTTCTAAAACACGAGAGTTCGCGGAGAAAAAGGTCAATCTTTAAGCCAGACCTTTTCCTATAGGTTGGGTTGGCTTGTCTCTCTGCTTGGGTTATCTCATGCAACCTTTAGGCCGGGTTGTACACATAGGTTGTATTCAGGCTATGTGTTTGTCTTTAACACAGACAACCCTAGGCGGGTTGTACAACTGGTTGTATGTACGCTATGTATATGTCTTAACATAGGCAACCCGTACAGCTGGTTGTATGTACGCTATGTATATGTCTTAACACAGGCAACCCTAGGCGGGTTGTACAACTGGTTGTATGTACGCTATGTATATGTCTTAACACAGGCAACCCTAGGCGGGTTGTACAACTGGTTACATGTACGCTATGTATATGTCTTAACATAGACAACCCTAGGGCTGTATAGGCTATCCCAGGCGACCTTGAGGCCGGGTTGCACAAGGTGGGTGGCGTGTGCCATTGATGTGTCTGTGACCAAGTGACGTCAATACATTGAAATCACGTGACCAAGTGACGTCAATACATTGAAATCAGCCAGGTTGATGCTTGGGCATGCGCATTGGAAAAACGGATGGGGAGGAGGAGGGGGTGGGGCGGGAGTTTGTCGATAAGAAGGTGAAAAAACGATCCCTGTGGCACATGGTTTAGAGAGGGGTTGGGGGTGGAGGGGCGTAGATCCCATGCAGACAAAATGTATCCAATATAAATATGTACACGAGGGCGCCAAAATAGACAGTCCACCCCTGCCAATGTGTGGATAGTGGTCAGCCCCGGGCAACACGTGTAGAGCCTCCACTGGAATATTTCTCACACGATTTTACCGTGTACCTGATAGCGGCATTAGATGTTGAAGGCAAAGTAAAATGTTTTTTGTTCTACCAGTTACCAACACTGGACTCTTGTGAAAATATGAATTTTTGATTTATTATAACTTATAACATCTTATGGCTTAGGGCGTTATTTCTCGATTTAAAGATGACAAAGTAATATTTATTAATACTCTACCACTAGCACCCTAACACCCCTCTTTATGGAAGAGTTTATTATTGTGTCATTACCTGACGCTGGTATTTATAAACCCCACACGGCTAAGTAGGTGACACCAGATGTGCTTATATCTTCTCATTCGGCCACAACAGGCGCTGTGCCAGAGCACCTATCGACCTCGGCGGGTCAAAGGTCACCCCGTGACCTACACGGGAGAGACGATTTTTTTTTGCCGGTGACGACAAATTGGAGACTGCGGTAATTAGCAGTAAGCAGGCTCTAACACGTTTGACACAGGTTTGTTTAGAATGTCAGGAACTTTGTTTTTAGTTTGTTCCTTCTAAGTGATGAGGCTGTCTGTCGAGCTAGAGGTAAGTAATAGGGGGTGGGAGGGGGGGGGGGGGCTGTTAGAGGTGTACTGTTATAAGGAGGGGTATGAAGGTAGGGGAAGGTTTGTGAGTTGGGAGAGGTTTGCTGGTAGGGGAGGGGTTCGCAGAGGTCGGGGGGGGGGGGGGGTTAGCAGGTAAAAGGAGGAGTTTGGAGCTAAGGGGAAGGTTAGTAAGTAGGATATTTTTGCAGATGTGAGGAGAGGTTTGCAGGTAAGGGGGTGGGGTTCAATTAGGAGTTTGAAGATGGGGAGGGGTTTTCATGTAAGGGGAGGTGTTTGTCGTTGGAGTGGGGATTCAGCTTGTGTGTTACTTGGGGACCAAGCGTCTGGTGTAGTCAAGCATAAGCTGGACGTAAATCAGAATTGATTAGCAGTTATACATCAACTTATTTTTATTGGGAGCTCTTGATATTAACTATTTTTTTAAACAGTCGACGCTACGTAATGTTAATGCAAGCGTACAATTTGCTCATCGTCATTACTTCCCCTTGACTGCCATCTGGGAATTTTATCTCAAGTAACCGGAGAACAAATTTAAGAAATAAACAAACACGATTTAATTAAACGCCCCTTTACAAAAAACTAATTCGTGTAAATTAGCCAACAAAATATCATACAGTACTTTCATATTATCACTAATATCTGTCAAGCAAATCTATTTCCATTCCCAACTTAGCTTTAGATCAGGGGTCTCCAAACTTTTCAGTCCGAGGGCCGCATTGACTATTAAATTTCAGTTCGGGGGCCAGTTTCTACCAGGCATGTCTTTGATTTTTCTGGGCAAAGTTCCTCAGCCATCACCAAACTAACGTCTTTTCTGTGGACAAAAAGATCTCCGCGGGCCGGATGAGAGGACATAGCGGGCCGCATCCGGCCCGCGGGCCGTAGTTTGGAGACCCCTGCTTTAGATGAACAGTTGTAGGCCCTACTCAACTAGCGTTAAGATTTTTTTACGCGTTTCGATGCTGTTGAAACCATTGGAGAAGTCTCAAATAAACTCATATATAGGACTGCTTGGCCGAGCGCTAGAACGCACGACTACTAATTCGAAAGTTTCAAGTTCGGTTCAGTGGTTCAAATATGCATGACGTCCATGATCCCATCTTAATGAATATCGGCCTTGTTTGGTGAAAAATAAAGGCGGTTGGACATAGTGCTGGCTATAGTATGCAGTTTGAGAAACTGATGAACTCTACTTCATCTGCTCCATCAACTTTTTGATCTGCACAGTTACAGCTGATACAACTTTACAGAGCACCCGCAACAAATTGCGTCTAAAAATAGCAGAAGATGGTGACCTATTTAATGACATCCAGCGCTGAGCAATTAACTTTTGAACCAGTTCATGACGTATTCGCTAATGAAGACAACACTAATTACGCTGTGTGCAGACGTAAATCAGCAAGAATGATGGGAGAATGGGCTGTAAAAATAATTGTATGGGATGTGGAGTGGTCGAGGTTAGGGGTGGGGTGGTCGAGGTTAGGGGTGGGGTGTGGCGGTCAAGCTGACCCAGACGCTATTAGTACCCCGGACTGCGTAGGTTGTCTCCCGTTGTCCTTGGAAATCTACCCCGTGGGCTCTTTAAGTTAACTGAGCCTCATTAGCCGGTGTAATGTAATTAGTTAAGAAAACCTCCAGAGAGACTGCAGTAAAAATAACATGCAGCGGACGAGAATTTTTAAATTTCCTGTAACTCAGACATTTGTATTGCTTTTTGTAAGACGAAAGATCCTTACAGAATTTGTTCACTACAATAGAATTACAAGCATCGAATTTACGCTTTTACCGGTCCCAAAAAAAAAATCAACTCTTATATAATAAAGAAGGTATTTGGGGAATGTTAACCATATTTTAATTATAAGTGACGGGCGTTAAGTGTTCACGTTGCCTACCTCACCCCCCCTCCCCCGTTATCGAAATCCTGTCTGTACCTGCTTAACTATTCTGCACATCAATTTGCATGTCATCGCTTGTTCACTTGAAGCTATCACCTGCTAAAACCTGACCAACACCTTCCGCGGCGCACCGATGTCCCCCCCCCCCCGGCACCTTCTCCAACTACGCACCAGGGCGCACACGACAGCTATCAAGTGACCTAACGATGTCAGCAGACGACTCAAGTCTCGCCAGGCTCGAGAGCTTACCATAATCACGCGTTTTGTGCGCCGACCTACTCGAGATCCCACGAGATAATGAGAGAATTCACGAGATCGCGAGAGATTTCTTTCTTCGGGGCTGGTTTTGTTCACATTTGGAGGATCTTGCACAGTCATTGAGGAAGAACTTGTCGAGGGCTTTACACAGTATCTACCGCTGGTTCAAATTTTGTTTCAAAGGTTTAACACATTTCTTGTCTTGATTCCCCAAACTTAACGGGATATTGTGCAGACTAAACAGTCTTTAGGACAGTCTTTAAGACAGTCTTTAAGACAGTCTTTAAGACAGTCTTTAAGACAGTCTTTAAGACAGTCTTTAAGACAGTCTTTAAGACAGTCTTTAAGACAGTCTTTAAGACAGTCTTTAAGACAGTCCTTCAGTCTATAAGAGGGTTTTGAGAAAAGTTAAAACCAATAGTGAAGTTAACTAAAATGTTACATGGTAACTGGCTAAGTACAGGACATCTATCAGTCAAAGTTGGGGGGGTAACTATAGGACAGGAAGTGACGACAACAGCGGTGACCGGAAGTGATGATGTGCACCTACATGT